TCATGACAAACCAGAATATATATGGTTTAGGGGTGGGGATCTCGACCATTTACAAGATATTAGACCTTTCTCAAATGGCAGGGGGTCAGGATAACCCCTGGGGACTAACCCTGTATATCATTCAAACCATCTTAGCATGACAAACCAGAATATATATGGTTTAAGGGTGGGGATCTTGACCACTTACAAGATATTAGAACTTTCTTAAATGGCAGGGGGTGGGGGTGACCCCTGGGGACTAACCCTGTATTTCATTTAATGTGCTTTACCATTTAGAACATTTTCAATTAAAAAGATTGTGTCTATCACAACTGGTATTCAATTTATAATAATTTTAAAATTTAAAAAAATAAAATCCCATAGGGTTCTATAGTAAAACCCTCCTTTCTTTTTGCCCCTCAAAGTACCCCTTTATAAACCCCATTGCACAAACAAAACCCTGATTGCACCACTAGACATGTTAGTCTAACATATTGTGAAACCCCAAGTTAATCTGACAAGTGGTTTTGGGAAAACGGGTGGGGACAAGTTCAAATTTAAAAGCGGCTGAAGAAGAAGAAGAAGAAGAAGAAGAATAGTTTTGGACCCCAATTTGGACCAACTTGAATACTGTGTCCAAAATAAAAAATCTAAATATACACTTAGATTCAGCATATCAAAGAACCCAAAGAATTCAATTTTTAAAAGTTCAAACAAAGTATAATTTTGGACCCTTTGGACCTTAATGTGGAACTATTTGAAAACAGATACCAAAATTAACAAGAGTGCACATGCTGAAATGTCTCGCCTTCTTTACTAATCATTGATATTATGTTGATAGTTCTAAATATAAAGGTTTATTACAACTGTCACATAAACTTAACATTAACCAAGTAAACTAAACATTGACCAATGAACCATGAAAATGAGGTCAAGGTCAGATGAACCATGCTAGGCAGGCATGTACAGCTAACAATTCTTCCATACAATAAATAAAGTTGACCTATTGCTTATAGTTTAAAGAAAAACAGACCAAAACACAAAAACTTAACACTGAGCAATGAACCTTGAAAATGAGGTCAAGGTCACATAAAACCTGCGTGACTGACATATAGATCATAAAATATTTCCATACACCAAATATAGTTGAACTATTGCATATAGTATTAGAAAAAAAGACCAAAACTCAAAAACTTAACTTTGACCACTGAACCATGAAAATGAGGTCAAGGTCAGATGACACCTGCCAGCTAGACATGTACACCTTACAATCATTCCATACACCAAATATAGTAGACCTATTGCATACAGTATAAGAAAAACAAACCAAAACACAAAAACTTAACTATAACCACTGAACCATGAAAATGAGGTCAAGGTCAGATGACACCTGCCAGTTGGACATGTACACCTTACAGTCCTTCCACACACCGAATATACTAGACTTATTGCTTATAGTATCTGAGATATGGACTTGACCACCAAAACTTAACCTTGTTCACTGATCCATGAAATGAGGTCGAGGTCAAATGAAAACTGTCTGACGGCCATGAGGACCTTGCAAGGTACGCACATACCAAATATAGTTATCCTATTACTTATAATAAGAGAGAATTTAACATTACAAAAAATCTTAACTTTTTTTTCAAGTAGTCACTGAACCATGAAAATGAGGTTAAGGACATTGGACATGTGACTGACGGAAACTTCGTAACATGAGACATCCATATACAAAGTATGAAGCATAGCTTTTAAGAAGTTAGCTAACGCCGCCGCCAGATCACTATTCCTATGTTGAGCTTTCTGCGACAAAAGTCGCAGGCTCGACAAAAATCCAAATACAGGTTAGATTCGGCATATCAAAGAACACCAATCATTCAATTTTTGATGAAATCAAACAAATTTTAATTTTAAACCCTTTGGACCTTAATATGGATCAATTCAAAAACAGGGCCCAAAATTCAAATTCTAAATACCCCCAAGAACTAAAGGCTTTGAATTAAATCCCATTGAAATTGGTCAACAAATAAGCAATTCATACAAAGCATTGCAAAAGTATTGTTTTTGGCCCCTTTTTCCTAATTGAGTCATAACCCCTAAAATCAAGCCCAACTTTCCTTTTATAGTATAACACCTTGTGGCACAATTAAATAGCAATCCATATACTTATACTCAAGTAATTGTCCAGAAACCAGATAATCCTAGTTTTTTGGCCCTTTTAGACCCCTAATTCCTAAACAATTTGGGCCATGACCCCAAAAATCAATCACAACCTTCTTTTTGAAGTATGGAACCTTGTGGTAAAATTTCATAGAGATCAATTCTCTTATACACAAGTTATCGTCCTGAAAAAAGAAAAATGCTTGTTTTTGGCCCCTAATTACTAAACAGCTAGACAATAACCCCAAAAATCAATCCCAACCTTACTATTGTGGTATGGAACCTTGTGCTAAAATTTCATAGAGATCCATACACTTATACTCAAGTTATTGTCTGTGAACCAGAAAAATGCTTGTTTTTTGGGCTCTTTTGGTCCCTAATTACAAAACAGCTTTGACAATAACCCCCAAAATCAATACCAACCTTCCTATTGTGGTATGGAACCTTGTGCTAAAATTTCATAGAGATCCATACACTTATACTCAAGTTATTGTCTGTGAACCAGAAAAATGCTTGTTTTTTGGGCTCTTTTGGCACCTAATTACAAAACAGCTATGACAATAACCCCCAAAATCAATATCAACCCTCCTATTGTGGTATGGAACCTTGTGCTAAAATGTCATAGAGATCCATACACTTATACTCAAGTTATTGTCTGTGAACCAAGTTATTGTCTATGAACCAGAAAAATGCTTGTTTTTGGCCCCTTTTTACAAAACAGCTACTACATAACCCCCAAAATCAATCCCAACCTTCCTATTGTGGTATTGAACCTTGTGCTAAAGTTTCATAGAAATCCATACACTTATACTCAAGTTATTGTCTGCTAACCAAAATGTCTTTGGAGGAAGACATCGCCATAACATAATACGAACCCAAAAATTTTGTGGTCGTATAAAAAAGCAGATGGAAATCTTTTAGGTTTTCTTAGAGACTAAACAATTTGTATTAAATTAACGGAAATGTTTCATGAGATGTCTAAAAAAAGTCAACTTTTCAAAATGAAAAATATAATATGTCTAAGACATCCATTTCATACAAAATGCATAGCAAGCATGGCTATTTTCAAAGTGTTCCAAAAATGTGAAGAAATAAAACAAAATATCAGTTATTAGATTTTTACAGATGTGTTGATAAGCATAGGGGAAATTTAGGTACTCTTCATAACAAAATCTTGGATCATTTGGAGGTTGGTTCAAACCCATCAATACGGATTTTCTTCCCTTTATATGTGCAATCTTGCAATAGAATATAAAGATATAAACCAAGATGTGTGAAACATTGAAAGAAAAATTAACAAAGGGAAAATTGTCCTCAATTTTGGTATGAAGATTACCACATGAAACCTCAAATTTTCATATTTGTCAGAACTAGGGGTATTGTTTTCAATATCAAAGTCAGATGTAATGAAATGTTATTCAGTGTTATATTTCTGCTAGATTACAGTAAAAAAGGTACTACATTTATGTTATACAAGAGTGCATATGCTGAAATGTCTCGCCTGCTTTACTGACCATTGATTTTATGTTGATAGCCCCAAATATAAAGTTTTACTACAAGTATCACATTAACTTATCATTATCCAAGAAAATGAGGTCAAGGTAAGATAAACTAAGCCAGAAATACATGTACACCTTACAATCATTTCATACATTGAATATAGTTGACCTAAAAAAAAAATGTATGGACCTATTGGTTATAGTATACAAGAAACAAACCAAACCATGAAAACTTTATATTGACCAATGAACCATGAATATGGGGTCAAGGTCAGATGAACCCTGCCAGACAGAATTGTACACTTTACAATCATTCCGTTGATCAAATATAGTTGATGTATCAAATATAGTATCTAAGAAACAAACTTAACCTCGAAAACTTATCATTGACTAATGAACCATGAAAATGAGGTCAAGGTCAGATGATACCTGCCAGACAAACATATAAACATTACAATCATTCTATACACCAAACATAGTTGACCTATTGCTTATAGTTTAAGAAAAACAGGCCAAAACACAAAAACTTAACATTGAGCAATGAACTGTGAAAATGAGGTCAAGGTCAAATAAAACCTGCCAGACTGACATGTACATCATAAAATATTTCCATACACCAAATGTAGCTGACCTATTGCATAAAGTATTAGAAATGAGGTCGAGGTCAAGTGAAAACTGTCTGACAGGCATGAGGACTGTGGAAGGTGACATTACAAAAAAATCTTAACTTTTTTTTTTCAAGTAGTCACTGAACCATGAAAATAAGGTCAAGGACAAAGGACATATGACAGACAGAAGCTTCATAACATAAGGCATCTATATACAAAGTATGAAGCATCCAAGTCTTCTACCTTCTAAAATGTTAAGCTTTTAAGTAGTTAGTTAACGCCGTTTTGGCCGCCGCTGCCGCCGGATAACTATCCCTATGTCGATCTTTCTGTGACAAAAGTCGCAGGCTCAACAAAAATGATGCTTGTGATTTTCTAGTCTGTCTATATGAGGGAAAAGCCAATGATTAGAAAATCTTTGAGTTCTTTCATAAAGATTCTGAAAATTCATTAAATTCTGTTGGGGATTTAGAAGAAGTGGATAAACCAATCTCAAAGTTTTTTTATAAATGCCTTTTTATGATTGACCCGAAGTCAATCGGCATAAATGACGTATTGAACAATCAGCTCTTACTGTGATGTAATAACATGAGCATGTCCATGCCAAAGTAAGCCCCAAAAATCATCCAAATGAACATATACTAAAGGAGGTACAAAAGTACAGATTAAGGACAAACAGAGTCTATATATCACAATAAGTAGCAATTATGCAAATACAAATCCACCCATAAACTTTTTTTAAAATAAAAAGAGACATGTTATCACTTTTATTGACTAAGTACTGACTGTGATATCCTTCAAAAGAATAATAAAGCTTTTCATCAACAATTCTGTTTTTGTGAATGCTATAGATTTTTACAGATTTTTTAATCTAAATCAATGAGATTCCTAAGACTGCACATATTAATACTTCAATCAGATTTAGATCCAACTATTTGTATTAAGTTCAAGTTCAGATTTAGATCCATCAATTTGTATTAAGTTCAAGTTCCAATTTAGATCCATCGATTTTTATTCAGGTCAAGCTCAGATTTAGTTTGTAATATCTTCAGTTCTAGTTGATTCAACAACAGTAATCTTTTAGCGTCTGCTTTTGTTGATACACAGTTATACAGCCTGTTTCATTTCAACCTCAGAATCCTTGTCACTTGGTAAGTTTTTCTCAGATAATGACCCACCAGTCATTTTTAAGGTTTCTATGATGTCATATGCTTGACCTACAATGACAAAACAGAAATATAGTGCTTTTCTATTATGTCTATCATTGTCTAAATTTATAAAGGTATTTTTTCTATTAACAATTGATCAAAAAAAATTTTTATATCACAAGAATCATACAAATCTCCCTTGTATAGATTACTTTACATGTAAAAGTAGAGGTTCAAGTGTATTCTTAAAAATACAAATACCCCTTCCCCCACATTTTTCAATGTTAACTGTTACATATATTTTTTTTAACAAACTTCTGCATATATCCTCTCTTTCCAGGATAAGGTGATAAACTTGTTGAAATACCACATCCTCTCAACTTCATTTTGATAGGATGATACATACCTGGTGAAACGCTATATATTCTCCTTATTTCATTTGGATACAGTTAGTGCATACCTGGTGGAATCCCATATCCTCTTTCAATTTCATTTTGATAAGTTTGTGCATACCTGGTGGAATCCCATATCCTCTTTCAATTTCATTTTGATAAGTTAGTGCATACCTGGTGGAATCCCATATCCTCTTTCAATTTCATTTTGTTAAGTTAGTGCATACCTAGTGGAATCCCATATCCTCTTTCAATTTCATTTTGATAAGTTAGTGCATACCTGGTGGAATCCCATATCCTCTTTCAATTTCATTTTGATAAGTTAGTGCATACCTGGTGGAATCCCATATCCTCTTTCAATTTCATTTAGATAAGATAAATCCATACCTGTTGGAATACCATATCCTCTCTCCATTCCATGTGGATTAGAGGGAGTTACACATTTCATTGTTACTTCTTTCCTCAGACATTGATCTATGTCTACTGCACTGAAAAATGCTACAGACTGAAATTTAGAAAACACAATTATTTAATTTGTGTGCAGCTTTAAATAAATTAATTCCTAATTGGCCTTTCTTTCAAAATTTACAAATCTTTTGGAAAAGTAAATTTTTGTGGCCTCTTATTCAGGTCATCCAACAAGATTTAAATACATATATTATTTGCGATTTCAGAATCTGATGCATTTTGGGTAATTTTTTACAAAGCATACAAAAAATAAATTGTTATGGCTGATAACTTCCACACCAAAGTAAAGTCGACTAATGGGCTAACATTATTTTCATTTTGGTGTACATACAATAACATTACCCAGAATCCTTTATATTCTCAAACAAAGAATAATTTACATGGAAAATCTTTCTTCATCAAAACTGGACCTCCCAAAAATGTTCAACCAATAACACATCCTTTTTAAGTTAATATTCATCCCTTAGTACCAATTCTTGAACCTGATTAATTAAAGTGTTTAAAAAATCTAGTTGAGAAGTTATGTTATTGGTTATTATAGGAATATGTGTTCCAGAAAGTATCCACATTCATCAAAATTCCCACCTTAAACTGGATTTTTTTTAATTTTTAATAATTTTTCCCTACCATGAATGCATGAAATGTAACTGTGAACTTTTACCGGTACCTGTATGAGATAGACATTGCTTATACATTTGTAATATCAAATTCATTTATTAGAACATTTACGAAGGAGGTTATAAAAATGTAGGCTTTTTTACTAACATCAACTAATTTTTATTATAGTGAGACAAATTTGGCTTGTAAATAAAAGGCTCTATAAAACATAACAACATGTTTAAACTAAAAAAATTACCTGTGGAAGATCATCCATACCAAGTTTGTAGGCAAACAATGACCTAGTTAATAGATTTGTTATATGTAAGGCTAATGCTGCTCTATATTGATCCTCTTCCTTCACCAAATATCGTACTTCATCATGGATACTAATGGCAAATCTTCCATCAATGTTGTATGTATCTAACAACCATCGCATACACACCAACATCAAATGTAGGAAGTCAACTGCTGAACTTTGTACGACCCAGTTAATTCTACTTGTCATAAACTAAAACAGAGACATACCAAGATGAAGAATATGCAGTTTGAAAATAAAAGATATTATCTAGATACTAAATATTAGTTCATTAAAAAGAATCAAAATTTTACATTGTTTTAAGGAACAATGTGCTAATATTTCATAAAGATCTGTCAATTAAAAACAGAACAAAAAAGTAAGAAGCTCAATGTGTACAGACAGACAACAACTAAGACTAGACCAACAGGATTAGAACTTTTTCAATATAAAGTGCTCAATAGCAATGATCAAAAGTTTGGCTGCAGAGCAATGATTGTTGTTTTAAAAAAAGCGTTTTGTGGCTAAACATTTAACTTTTTTAAGACAGAGTGGTAAAGATTGTATGTATGATTGTATGCTAGAGCATCCACATTGTCTCAACATAACGTGGACTAGTGAACAAATATTTTTAACCTGAATAACATATATTTCTTTTCAAAATACATATGCTTTAACTGACCCTTCTATTTATTCTATAATGCAAAGTTAGAGAAAAATAAACAGGTGGCATGTTATAATCTTATAATTTAATTTTGTATGTAACACGTCTTCCCATTGGCTGACGTTGTTTTGTTTATCAGCTCATAGACATAATTTTGTCATATGACCTTGACGTCATCAACGTTTTTTCATGATTTACTGCGGTTTAAAATGGAATTAAGAATTAAATTATAAGAAATGACTGTAATATTTTTTTCTGTCTATTCGAAATAACATAAAAAATGTGGTGCACACTTTAAAATAACCCGCTATGCGGGTTATTCAGTGTGCACCACATTTTTGATGTTATTTCTTCATAGACAGAAACAAATATTACAGTCATTCCTTAATTAAAGGAATTGAACTTTATGCTGTGTTTTTTAATTGTGAAAAGGGAGACAGACAACTATAAATCACAAATTGGAACCAAATAGACCTTATTGCTTTTAAGTCCAATCCAGAAAATAGCAGATACTTAGAAAACTTCCTATTGAGGTACAAGTGTTGCAAAAACAAAGGTCACCAGAAATGAGCTGAGGGAGGAAAAAGTCTCAAAAGAGAACATTTTGAAATTTTGATAGTTTAAGAACCAATTTTTTAAGGACAAATTAAAGCAATAAAACACTTTGTTTGAAGAGTTTACAATAGTTTAAACATGTTTCTTTTGAATAAATAGCAATACTGTCTATGTAATCATTCATTTTAACTGAGTATATTCACAATCAATTGGTCATGATTTTCATGAAAGTTTCAGGCTCTATACAATAAAAACATGCTAACTAAGACAATTTAGTGTTAATTCTTCACCGTTTGACGAATACATCACTGCATTTCTGGTAAAACCCATAGAGAGTGTAGACTTAAGTTATAAGTCTAATAAAACATCACCATAAATGCACTCAAAGTCAGTAGTCTGCGATCTGATACTTACATCATCACCAACATTATCTGGTTCTAGTGCTTTACTGATACAACATCCAAGGACTGGAGTACGAGGCAGATCTGAAGTAGCTATATCTTCCAGTCTGTTGAACATCTCACTCTCACTGTAAATTTAAACCTTTATAAAATGTAGATTGATTGATTGTTGATACTTAACGCCACCTTCAGCACTATTGGCTTAAACATGGCAGTCGCTTTTTATTTGTGGATGAAGCTAGAGTGCTCGGAGAGAAACACCAACCTTTGGCATGATAAATGGCAATCCTAGTCAATTAATATTGGAGTCAAATGTACTTTCCATATGTGGGGTTCAGACTCACAACCTCAGTGTTTACAGGCTAGTGATACTTGAGAATTACTTAGACCACTCTGCCAAAGAGGCCCTATAAAATGTAATACTTATTAAATGTTTAATCGGATTTTTTATCAGTAGATTTTATTTTAATGGTATGTAAGACCTACATTTTTAAGTGCAACATATTTTTATGATGAGCCTTCTTCTGATACATACTTTAGTTCAATAGACCATTGTCTAATTATACCAGTAACAAAATTATACTTACGTTCCTTCTGCCCATTTACCACCTTTTATTCTGAAAAAAGATTTGTTTGAATGGTCAATTCAATTATATGGATCAAATCATGATGTATGTTGTGAACCTGTCAGACTGTAAAGTGAGCAGAGCTGACAAAATTTATACCCCTACTCCTAGCAAAAAACAAGAGTTCTTAAATTACCACAAAAATTTTGACTAATTAAGAAATCCTAGTTACTAGTTGAGGGTGTTGTTAATGAAAGTCACAACTTTATGTGTAAAATTGCTAAAGTCAATGGTTTGCTAAGTGAAACTCCTAAAATCATTCTGATAAACTATATTTTTCAACCACAAAAATTTTGACTAATTAAGAAATCCTAGTTACTAGTTGAGGGTGTTGTTAATGAAAGTCACAACTTTATGTGTAAAATTGCTAAAGTCAATGGTTTGCTAAGTGAAACTCCTAAAATCATTCTGATAAACTATATTTTTCAACCACAAAAATTTTGACTAATTAAGAAATCCTAGTTACTAGTTGAGGGTGTTGTTAATGAAAGTCACAACTTTATGTGTAAAATTGCTAAAGTCAATGGTTTGCTAAGTGAAACTCCTAAAATCATTCTGATAAACTATATTTTTCAGTATGATAGAAATGTCCCTGCTTGCAGCCTTATTATCAAAAGCCAATTAGGAGGAAATTAAAGAAACTCCATCTGCAAATTATCATTATACAGTATTATCGCTATTTTACAAATTTTTTCTTTGATCTTGCTGACTGATAATTTCCATTCTCAGCAGAGTCGAGTGATATGAAAATTATCGCTAGAAACTAAGGGAACACGTGCCGTTTTCAAGGAAATTAACAACGTCTTCATAGGTAAAATAGCGATAAACAGATTATCATTGGTCATCTCAACTCGATTGCTTTTCTCGCTTTCGCCGTACCGGCTCAAGCGAGAAAATCAATCTCGTTGAGATAACCAACGATAATCTATAAATATATACAGAAATAAGCTCAAGATCTGAAGTCTTAACAAAATAAATAACCTGAAAACCATTTGATTTCAGAGTGATGGAATGACTAAATGACTGAGATGGGTAACATGATATGCCCCGTCCACTTAGTGGCGGGAAAACACTTAAATAAGCAATAAACAAGCAACATGATTAACCCATAAATTATGAATTTTCAGACACTCTCTGTTAGACAGGCTTAACCAATGTGATGAAGTTGTTTTTTCCCCTAGTTGATGAGATCATACATTTTGTTAAATCTGTCCAAATTGTCAACTGCCTTGGCATTAAAATCTTACCTTCTACCTTTAGTTGTACCATACATGATCTTAGCTTTGGTTGCTGCTTCTTTTGGTGTAAGTCGATGATTGAATTGCATCAACAATCTCTCTGCAAACTTCTGTCCTGCTCCATAAATTCTCCCATAGTTAAAAACCTAAATAACAAAAAATAAACGAAAAGTATGCATAAAATGGCCATTATAGGTCAAATACATAAATTTTAAAATGTTTATGATGTCATGGTGACATCATTAGTGACCTTTAGCACTAAAGTATCCAGATTATATCAACCTGTTCATTTATCATTTAAATTAACATAATTTTGAAAGGCTTGATGAGTCCATCTGATGAGTTAAGCCTTTTTCAACTAATTTTTATAGTTTGTTCTTATGTTGTACTGTTACACCACTGTCCCAGGTAAGGGGAGGGTTGGCGCCTTCAAACTGTTTAACCTTGTCACATTCTGTATGTGCCTGCCCAAGTCAGGAGCCTGTAATTCAGTGGTTGTCGTTTGTTGCTGTGTATCATATTTGTTTTTCGTTCATTATTTTGTACATAAATTAGGCTGTTAGTTTTCTCGTTTGAATTGTTTTACATTTGTCATTTCGGGGCCTTTTATAGCTATGCAGTATGGGTTTTGCTCATTGTTGAAGGCCATATGGTTACCTATAGTTGTTAATTTCTGTATCATTTGGTCTCTGGTAGATAGTTGTCTAATTGGCAATCATACCACATCTTCTTATTTTTATTTTGAATAAGTTTACATTTTTGCATTTGGGCAATCAAACCACATCTCCTTATTTATATAGGTAGCACTGAATCAACATAAAAAACTAAAAGTGTGTTACATATGGAACTGTGCCTGATGTTTCCTACCTTAGCATGATCCCTACTGATACCAACTGTTTCTGCTGTTTTACTGTGGAGGTCTGTTTTGTCAGCTTTGTTTCCTTGTAATGTCATCCAACCAAAAGCTGTACAACCTGTATAAAAGTATAACTTTAGGTAGCTTTGATACTTTCAGTTACAAGACCTTACATGCTTAGATGTTTTCTCAGATTTTTCGAAATTGTATATTTTTATGAATCAAGTACAAAAGAATAAAATTTTCCACATTTTTGTCCATTCTTAAAAAATTGCAATAATAAATGCACAAAATAGTTTCTGAATTCACAGTATCAATAAAATCTTACCATGAAGTTTAGCATATGAATCTCCTATAATTGCAGAAATCCACAGTTCCTGGGAATCTACATCAGCTCCAACAAAGCTATACCCTGGTGGTGCCTGTACCATAGCTTTCAATTCACTACCTACTCTGTCAGGCTAAAAATAAACACTAGTTTAATTTCTAAGTTTTATTTATCAGTTGAATTTAATTCTATATATCAAAACACAAATGAATTCTTGCTCATCATATAATCAGAAATGTATTTTTCAGTATTATTTCAAATCAAGATGTCTCCTGATAGTCTCGGAACACTCTTATTTAATACATTGGAAAACAAGAGCAAAGAAGTAAATAATTCAAGACGAGAACAGTGAATGTGACTGTCTGTTTTCATAATTCTATTAGCTATAGGTCATGTATTGACCTTGACCTTTGATATCCAATAAGTTAATATTCTAACTATATAAGCATGAACAGTCTTCAAAAGTATATAACATTTTCAAAAACAATTTTAGTAAAGTTTTCACTGGCCAACCATCTTTAAATTAACTGAAACACAAGTCTACATCAGTTGATAGTTCAGTCAAACAAATTTCAAGGGTCATCTATGTATAGCAGCTAACTGCCTACAAAGGGCACTGTAAAAATAATCTTTTTATGACTAAAGATCACAAAATGAACCTCTGTATAAGGAAAACATGCTTATCTTCCCTTAGGTGCCTTTTATATAAAGTTTTGAACAGTAACATTATCAACTTGCTCATCTTAAACTATAAGTCCTGAGAGTCTAACACTCTTCTGCCTCCTTACATATGCATTACTGGCTGTCAGCCATGTTGCCTCCACTGCACGCCTGGTGATGGTTCCAGCAGATACAATTCTTGGGACTATAGCACCATAGTATCTATCCTCTTCATATGTACTAGAACTACAAAGTTTTACTGGTATGTTATTTACAAAATATAAAAATTTATTTACAATATCATAGTAATGCATTATATATTCATACTTTATATTCATCCTTAAACTTGACACAGAGAGAAATAACTTTATTGTTGAAGACTGTATGTGACCCTAATAATGTCTTATGTTTCCAAGACAAAACTATCTCACTGATGTATACCTTGCATCTCCTTTGATATCCAGTATTGTGATAAGTGACCAAGTATCTATGTGTTGTTTTTCAATGTGGAATAATTGTATCCTCAGACAAAATAAAGATCCAGTGCTAATAAAACTATTTATTAAAACTAATATATAATACGAAAATAGAAATATTACATTGGAAAAACTGGGGACTAACAGCTGCATACACATAATAAACATTAAGAGTTATCCCCCTTTTAACATATAAATGAAAATTAATATACAGAAAACTTGGGGGATAAGATAAAATTGGATGATAAAAGTATACAATTTTATCGAAAAGTCCAAATACAGATGCATAGCAGCTGTAGCCCCAAGTTAATGCATTATATATTCATACTTTAAATTTAAATTTTTTTTTTTAAACAGCAATTAAATAAAAAAGATCTTAATCAAGCAGGAATTAATTAAACTTTCATTATCAATAGTGAATTCATCATTCCAATTCTATAACAGTCTGTGCAGCTTTCAAAGGTTTGTAATACTAAGTACCCAAAGTTTTAAAGTAAATGTATAATGTTGTAATTACTTACTTTATAACATTGGATGGAAGGTCTTCTTTCTTTAAACCCAATGCCATTTGACCCCTGGAAAGTAAATTCATAATGGCTGATATGTACTGTTACATTAATTTATCAAACCTTCACTAAATGTACATTTAAAAGAAAACATAAATGTGACTGTTGCATTTGTTTTTATTTCAACAATATGGATACATTAAAACAACCAACGATTTCTTCTTCCAACAAAACAACCAACAATTTCTTATTGTGTCAAAAAAGTTATCAACAATGAAATTAGAACTGCCAAATGTCTGGTTTATTTGAATAAATATAACACAAATTATCTTAAAAAATAAAATAAGACCAGCTATCATACATGGACTCTTTTTGAATTAGAATGTTTGATAAGTTTTTACAGTTGAAATTATCAGAAACCTGTTAGTTAAAATCATCGATGAGGTTATTGAAATTGTAAAAGTTCATAAATTCATGTACTGTGAATATATTTTAAGAAACCCTTCATGTTTCATATAAAGCAACAACTCACTCAATTCTTTTCATTGCATTCTTCCAGTAAGAACACATAATACTGAGTTTGAGAGCCCTGTTAGCATCTGTTCCAGACAAAGCTTTGAGAATACCATCCTCTACTTTAGCTAAATAGTCCTTGGCTAGAGGATTTCCAACATTCTTTCCTTTACCATCCTTCAAAGAAAATATTTTATACTGACAAAGGTGTTTTCTCAGAACAAGATCCTTTTACTAAAATAACAAATAATGATAAATTTGCATTTGAATCTTGGTTTGTTGATAAGGTGGTTTTTATTCTTTGTAACCATAATGTATCATTTTAGTACTTTTTAATCTTTGTTACCAACTGGAAATAAAGCAAACAACAATGGTATTATTTCAAATTATAATTTATTGTTGGAATTTCATTTTCATGATCTACTTTTAAATTTGTTTTTTTGTGTCTTTTATTTAATTTTGTATGTCACAATAAAAGTAAAACCGCCACAAATATTTTCCAATTAACAGTATTCAGAACAATCTTTTTAATAGTTTGGGGTTTCTAGATATTGTGTATAAATTTTTTTTTTTTACAAACTTTCATGGTTAGAGGAGTCAGGTGCATTAAGGTCAGTGCACAATGCATGGTATGCTCATTCATGTAGTACCAAGCAAGACATACCTTGTGTGGAATTTGATAGAACCAACAGCCTGGAATACCAATATCATGTCTTCCTTCTTTCTGAAAAAGCATACAGCATTAGTATAGCAATTTGAATCTGTTCATTAGTATGATAGGCCATCTATACATATTACATGGTTTTTGACAGTTTAGTACTACTGTTTGAGGTTTCTGATTCAAGAATATTCCAGTAAAGAGCTGTGCCATGAGCACATGATATGCCCGTTACCCATTTAGCTGGTCTTTATGCATTTAATGAATTTATATGATCAGCTAGAAATACTGTGAGCACAGCTCAAAAAGACCCCTCCACAAAAAAAAAAAAAAAGACATGCAATGATGCACTCACAGTGGCACCCATTGACACAAAACATGGATAATTTAGCACTATTTTTGAACGATTTTATAACCATCCAAAGTGTGAAAAAATAAAGTTCCATAACTCTGCAATGTCATATCAGAAATTTATAGAAAAAAACAAAAGGGAGCTTATTTCAATATACATGTATATAAACAATTCACCAAAGTTTCATGAAAATTGCACAAAGCATTTTGGAGTTATAGTCAGAAAACTGGAAAATGCCCCATTTTTTTATGAATGTAATTTCATCCCCCTACTTACTATTTTATGCATAAAATAAAGAAGAAATAAATTTTGGATGTGTATGGACAAAATTTGCAATTTATACACTGTCCACACTAGGGGCTCTATTTGTAGACAACGAAAATCAAAGGACAATAACTGTGTCCCCAGACATATTTCATAGAGTAGAAAGACTTGACCAATTTTAATCAAACTTGGCATGATCTAATCTTAGGGAATATATGACAGTTTACCAATTTTTATGGCAATAGAATATATTTTATAGACTATATGGTCATTTTTATATTTGAACTTTGGATGTTTATTTTTGACATTTAAATCAAACAATTTCAACTTTCAAGATTTGGGCCAACAAAATTTAAATATTGCAAAAAATTGGGTTTTTAAATGCCTTAATATATAATGTAGAACGTATTTATAGCAGCTGAACACTCATTTGATGTATCAGATTGATAACAATTCTTCAAAAGTCAAATTTATATGAGCCTGTGCCTGAAAATAGAGATTTTCCAATGAAGGGGTGGCTTATATAAAATTGTACACAAAATTAAAGTTTGTGATGTAATTTTGTAATAAATAATTCTTCCATATATGTTTTATGAAGAACAGTTACAAATAGGATACCACATGAGTATAATAGGTCCTAAGCCATGTAAGACTAAAACTTGTTTATGGTCAATTTAGACTGTAACACATATTTACTTATAAAAATGCATACAGAAGCTATAAAAATAGAAATTTGTTTCTTTTTTGTCATTTTTATGCTAAAGTGATATGATTCAAGAAGTCTGAGTGCAATACGACTCTTGCATTCAACTTTTTTTGCAGACAGTACAGTCTGATGCAAAGTTTTTCACTTTTCAGTGGAAAACTTGCATGTAATATTAGTATCAACAGACATATTTTTGAACCACTTACTATCCTACAGAAGAAAAAAAAGGTGGTATATGAAAAGAAACAGGTACAACAATCATTGTCAAGTGCTTTTTATACAGATTTAGTGAACTCTTTATGATGGACTTCAACTTTTATGTACATAGTTCCTCACATTTCACTTCCTTTAAACTAGCCGTTAGGCCAGGCCAATAAATAAATTTGCAAGTTATACACTGTCCACACTATGGACTCTATTTGTAGACAACGAAAATCAAAGGATGATAAATGTGTCCCCCGTCCATTAGTGCAGTTCCATTAAAACATATAGGGAACCGAGGGAAGGCAATTTGAAATCTCATCTACAGGTGGATGTCAAAAATAGTGAAAATGTAAGCGAAATTATACATTTACCTCTGTAGGTATTTATCCAGTTTTGAAAGTGCCATCCCTGGCTACCATATAAATAAGAAGATGTGGTAAGAGTGCCAATGAGACAACTATCCATCCAAGTCACAATGTGTAAAAAGTAAACAATCACAGGTCATAGTACAGCCTTCAACACGGAGCCTTGGCTCACACCGAACAGCAAGCTATAAAGGGACCCAAAAAGACTAGTGTAAAACAATTCAAACAGGAAAACCAACGGTCTAATCATATAAAAAACGAGAAACGAGACACACTTATGAACCACACCAACAAATGACAACCACTGAATAACAGGCTCCTGACTTAGGACAGGTGTAAAAAATGCAGCGGGTTTAAACTTTTTAACAGGCTCCAACCTTCCCCCTAACCTGAAACAGTGGTATAACATTACAACATAAAAAGACACACAATAAAATATCAATTGAAATGGCTTAACTCGATCAAAAAGACAATACACAAAAACAAGTAAATATACACTGAACAAATAAGTTTGATCTATGACACAATATAAATAAAAAAGATGTTTCAATATCAAAAAGACAACTTTAACCTAGGACAAAATGGCGTTAAATAAAGTAACGTACACAGGTAAATTTAAATATAATAATTTTGTTGTTAGGAGTACAGAAACATTTTTTTATGTATGTTTATATGGAACAGTCCTTAATTAGTTTCAACCTACAGGAGGTATATTCCTAGGCGTTATTCCAGCAGCTTGTAGATGTTTCTTTTTCTCGTCCCAAGTCATACTACCATCCACACCACTCTGGACTACCTCGGCCATCTTGTTTTTATCAACTTTTGCCTGGGGAACATATCCTGGTAATGTATCCTCCAAGTTAAACAAAGATTCTTTGGTTGATTTCAATGGATAATTGAGACCACAAAGTTTGAAGACAGATCTGTACAAAAGAGTAAACAATTTGAAAACAAAAATGTTTTAGTTAAGGTTTATGACCCCTTCTGTAGCATTGTGTATTATGAAATTTTCAAAGTGATATAATATCAAAACACTGAATAAAAGAGACATATCAAGTTGAACATATACCAAAGGAATGTCGTTCACAAAAACTATAATTATTGTCTAATTGAATTTAGAAAAATATGGATTTTGGGTCAACTCAAGCCAATTTTTTGATAAAAAATCCACAGACTTTATTACAGAGCCTTTCGTGATAATATTTGAAATCTAGATTACTCACTAGTTTTTCCATGGTGTGCTAGCCTTTATTGTTTACAAAAAGCCCTAAAACCCCTTTTCAATCTAAAAAACCTTCAGCTGAGTCATCAAAGTCGAGTGCACCATACGTGTACTTGAATTGATCCATATTTTTACTTGTTTACACTAATTTTTTTATTTAAAAACTTATTTTAGGGAAACCATTGCTAGCACTGCATGCAGTAATCTCATTTCTTTTTAGTACATAATTGTCAAATATAAGAGTAGACGGGGAAAGGCTGTGAATTTTCTATATGTTTAAGCATTGAAACAACAAGGGTACATTATCCTTAAAGTCTGAATGAAGTAATGTTTCTAGTCTGCATTGCATTAACATAATGTGTAATGTACAACTATCAGAGCAGGTATTATGACTAACATCTCTTTTGTGTGATAAGAACAGACCTATATATTGTAGTGTATTTATTTCAAGATATTTTTTAGTATCATTCATATCCTATTATCTTTTGTGAAAAATATACAACTGAATATAAAAACATAGTATATGTCCAATACACCTCATTCCCTCTTTTATTATACCATCAATGTTTAAAAACTATCTTTATGTACAAGAAATTTTCCCAGTATCTATAACTTTTATAAAGACCTGTTTAAACAAAGAGTTTAGACAGATTATGGGTCTTAGTGTATTTAATGACCTGACAGGGTATTTGGACATTTCCTCTCCTGTTTTCTCTTCTCCATCACTGTCACTATCCACATCTTCCAGCATGTCCTTGTCATCCTCAAGCTTCTCTGGATCAGGGACGACATATCCCCAACCAAGTTTACTGTCATAATGTACAGGGTATCCCTCCCACATGAGCCTCGTCAATTTAGGGGCCACTCTCATTTGCAGGCTGATCAAACTAGGACCTGGTAACCAATCCTCTTTGTTAAGTCTCATACATATATCTTTATACCATCTGAAAGGCCACAGAAAAATACTGATCTTGAAGAATTTTATCATCCAATTTAAACAAGGCATTATCAGGATATCTTGTTTTATCTACCTGTATAGGGTTTCAGATTTAAGAAACTTCGAAATCTGATACAAATAGATGTTGAAGGCTATTTCTTTTTCTTGGAATGTTGTTGTTCATGGTTTTGGGAATATTAAAAACTAAATTTTATACTAAATATGTCAAATAATATTTTAAGAATACATTCTATTATTGTTTAAATTGATCATAATTCACAGACTGCATCTTTTGATACAAAAATAAGGAGATGTGGTATGATTGCAAATGAGACAAATATCCACCAAAGTTCAAATAAAGTGGATGTTAACAATTATAGGCAACTGTACAGCCTTTAACAATGAGAAAAAAACCCATACCGTATAGTTGGCTATAAAAGGCCCTGACATAGAAATATGGAACAATTCAATTGAGAAAACTAATTTATAACAAAAACAATTTACGAAAAACAAATATGACAGACATGAACCAACGACAACCACTGAACTACAGGCTTCTAACTTGGAAAAGGCATGGATGCGGCAGTGTATCTATACATCCCTAACAACAAAAAAGACACAAAGTACAGATCTTAGAGTACTCACAGTTACTGAAAGCTAGTTCAAAGCCAATAACAACTGATAAAAAAAAATCATGTATCTAAGATTAAAATATCAGTCAGTCCAACATCCAATGGATTTACAGTAAAGACGACACTAACAGTCAGAGAAAAACATGACCTTGTACAATGCCAAAATATAGGTATTGCTAGATTGTAGTACCATGAAGGTGCATATGTGTATAACAATAATATTTAGTATGGTTTTAATTTACTGATAACAAAATCAATATTTGTACCAATAAAACAATATTCAAAGATCAAATTACAGAGTTGCATAGTCATTTGACATGATAATGTATGCATTATAAAAATAAGATTTTTGGTACATTACAATGAGATAGCAATCCAACAATACGAAAATCACAAAAGACATCTAGATGTCAATATATGGTTGTCAACAATAGTTAACTATCTATGACATATTTCATGTGAAATAATCCTTCAGTGAACTCACAAATCCTTTTATTCATCAAAATGTTATAAAATGTACTGCCTTTAAATATCAGAATGCTGTCTACCTTTTACAATGTGTAAGTAATATCTACCCTGGGTATCCTGCCATATGAGATCTGATCTTATATAATCTTTCTGATGTGGCTAAAATTCTGTTGATTCTGTCGTCTGCTGTCTCATCTTTTTCTTCCACCTGAATCATTTGTATCAAATTTTAATAGAATAAAATGTATGCATCATATGCTAAAAGATTTCATCAAACAGGTCAAAATTGTCACAGCCCAAACATTAGTATTGTTGCATAGGCTTAATTTAGGGAAGAAAATAGCAAATAAAATAAAGATCTCTTCAATAGAAGATTGAATTATGATTTGTAAAAAGTATTAACTTTATTTATTTGTTATTGGACCTTTAATACAAATATGCACCTTACTTTGCATAAGACTGACACACAGACAGATTTTGAACATGCTAAATCACAAAGTACATAGGAAGATATGCTACCAATCAGGGACATTATTCTGACTATAAGCCAACCAACCTTTGCTCTTCCTCTTAAATAGAACATGCTTACCAAAGATACAGCAGATCCAAATTTCTAAGGGTTTGTCCTACAATCCTGCTATTCCTAATTTTGAATTTTCATAGTTCAAGACTAAAAAAAATATTAAATCAATGGAGAATTTACTATTTGTGAGGACTTAAAGATATGATTTGAAATATTCAAAAAATCCATGTAAATAAGTATCATACTTATAATAGTACTTCATACACATTATAAAGTTTATTAAACCTTTTTGGCCTTGGTCTTAGGGGCCTTCTTAATCCTTATGTCCTTTGTAGACCAATCTAAGTCCCATAACCATGGGTCATCTTTATACCTGAAACAGAAATCCCTTTAACAGTACTTTCATTGATATTTTGCAACCCAGGCACTTCTTAAGAAATAGATCAGTCCACTTAATGTTGTGCTCAACAAAAAATAATATTAAAATTTAATGTTGATAAAGCAAAACAGCACATTCCTAATACTTTAGAAATTCCTGCTTTAAATAGTTGAGGATAATTTTGATTTATGGCTAATCCAATGGTACGAACCCTTTCCAAATAGTAACAAGAATTTATTATATTTTTCTTTAAATGATTAACAGTCATGAACTGTTTATTGTAACATTGGTAGAGACATCAAAACTATTTCTATGAGTAGACATCTTCTACATTTTTTACAGAATCACAATACATAAGTAGTGACTAAATGCTTCTTTACTGGTAGTGCCTCCTCTGAATATCACATACATACAAATGAAACAACACAACATACAGTTTAAAATGATTTTACCTTTCATCATGTATCTTAGTACATGCTTCATTGGCCAATTTCATTAGAATGGTTTTAAGTTCTCTCTGGAGATCATCATACACAGAGTTTGACTGTTGAATATATCTATTCCAGTTCTGATTTATTGGAAGATAGGCTGTCCCCATTTCCATCATGCCAGCTAATGTCACAGGGTGAGGGAATCTGAAAAATCAAATGATATTTGGATGTTATTAAACAAGATTTAAAAGCTTTGAATTTTTTCTCGTTCCTGAAGCTTTTGTAAAGAGTTGTCTTGACTTAGGGTATGATGTACAATATAGATAATTGTCTAATGATGCAGTCTATAGGTGGACCTCAAAATGTCTTGAAAATTTTCTGTTTCATTGATGTAGCCCTAAATCCCCCTTTATTTATACTGTCTCACACATTCTGAACAGGAAGACTAATTGTTATTTTCGCAATATCAACTGATCCTTTCAGCACAGGGATTAAATTTGTGTATCGATTGAAAACTCAGTCCTACACATCAATATTGTTGATTCTTACAAACTATTTGTGCATTTGACATCATAACAAAATAAGCAAACATTACACCCATGCGAAATTTTCGTGTTTACAGTACATGTATTTAGGTGCATTCACTGATTGTAATTTTGTAACCAATCAACCAAAGGTTACTTTGTACATTTTTTATATTCTTGGTTGTATTTAGACTTTACCTGGGTAAACTTGTTTATAATATAAAGAAACTTCAATTTTCCTTATCTATTAAAAAAAACACAAAATATACCATCTATTAGAATATCTAGATTTCATGTAAAACAAAATGTTTTCATACCTGTCTAAGAATTGTGGCCAAAGCACCTTAAAAACCTTTAATGTAGCTATCACATCACTGGAACAATACTTCATCAGTTCCTATAAATAGAGGCAATTTGAAATGAAATGTAAATCTATAATACTCAGTATTAGATGAATACTGTGCTAACAGTCATTGAATAAAAACTAAAACATTGAACTTTTCTCAATAATCAGATGCACCAGGGTTATGTTATTTCTCCAGCAAAGACATTAAGACAAGTGCCATTTTTCTCATCAATTGCTGTTATATTTTATTGCAAGAATTACAGTTATCTTGATTTACCACACAACATGGGGAAATTATCCTTTTTTCAGCGAAGGGTTTAATTATTTTTCAAATAATTACTGATTTGAAAATTGCATATCAGGTATGAAATAGGAGAAGATTGAAAAGCAATATGGAGGACACAGTATTACGGTACTAATTTTAATTTTAGCAAACAAATACAAATATGTAGTAATTATACTAGAGTAACTATGGATTATCACTATAATTCCCACTCCTTACACACAATGATTACAACAATTACCTGAAACCTCTCTCGGACATCTTTCATTGTGCCTTTGACAAAGACATCTCTGGTATCTTTCTGTAAAGGTTTACCATTACAATGTAGCTGATATACATCATTTAGATTGTTCATTGTACTGACTTCTTTCCAAGTATCATCTGACTACAATGAAATGATTATTAAGTTTAAAGCTACAATTCTATTGTTTTAAGAAGATAATATTTAAACAGGAAAAGGGACAAAGAATCACTTCCGATATTGCTAGTCTAAAACTGATATCATAACTAAAAAAAAAGATTTCATTGACTGATGAAACATCAATTTTAGTCACAGTAATATATTTATGATTCAAACATTGATCTGAAAAGTCAATTAAATGTTGTTTTCCTCTACACATTTTTTTTGTTGATAAATTCCTGTTACTTACAGCATTCTCCCCAGTATTTTCAAATAGCACCACATGATTTGAAATTGCACCATTTATCTAAAATAATAGCACCACATTTATATTACATTCTATTGTAAAATCTATTCATTTGGAACAAATATAAAAAAAAAATAGCAACATGGTACCTTGGTGCAATAAAGTCCTGGAGAGAACACTTTCTGACCTGTTCCGTAGTTTTCCAGCTGATTTTCTCTTATATTCTTATTGATACTCGCCTGTACATTTATCTGTTGTTTCCTGCTGAGTTTTTTCAAAATTAATTCTGTTACTTGCCTATTCATGTTCCTGATTGTTTTCCTGCATTCTCTGACATCATTACTGTGATCTTACTTGCAGATGCTTCTTATGGTTTCCTGCTTAGTATTCTCTAATTTCTTTTTTTTTACTTAAATAACATACCTGTACATGCTTCTGTTGTTTTCCAGCTAAGTATTCTCTGACATCCTTCCTATTGGTTCCTTTCTTTGTTGCTTGATACAAAATTCTCTGGAAACTGGTCTGACCACACACACCAATATGTAATGACATCGTGTCTAAAAATCTCAGTTTTGATTTCTGTAGTACACATTTACTAATAAGCATGGCCAAATATTGATGTGTCAACTAGTTTTGGAGATTCTTATTGGCTATTGTTAGACAATATTAGCATAAGCAATTGATACGACAGCAGAGGCGGAACCCTGAACAGTTGGGGCAAGTATTGACACCAGGCATGGGGCGAATTACATTGCAATGTAATGCATTATATTACAATTAATTTGACCAAACCATGCATTATATTACAATTACAATTACATGCATTTATCAAAGTAATGCATTATATTACAATTACTTTTGCAAAGTAATGCCTTGAATTACACATTACATTTGAAAATTTTATGAAGTGAATAGAAAAATAAAACATCTTGAAAAACAACTAGAAGTCACAAAAGATTCTAGCATATGCAGCAACTGTTCCATGAATTGAATATAAGTATACATGTAAAAAGTCTATTTAATTCAGCTTTTACAATTTTAATTTAATGTTGACTTTACTTTTATAAATATACTCTTTGTTGTTTTTTTTTAATTTTAAACGAAATATTTAATTACTATGAATTACTTCCCTAATTATAAAATAAACATAGACCTTAATTAATGAACAATTGTCTAAATGGTGAAAATATTGATTGTAAAACAAACTAATTAGTGTTTTATAACAAAGTTTAATTATCTTTTATTTAAGCAAGACAAGATATTCTTTGATCTTATGACAACAATACAGTTATGCTTTTCAAATATCAATCTTTTTATGCATGGAAAATGTATGAAATAAGATAAAATAAAGAATATATTCTCATGATTAACATATTCCTAGTTAATCAAGAAATCTTAAATTTGGTTTAGTTAAAACTCCAACAATATGTTAAAGATGTGGTATGTGAAAAAAAGTAATGACATGTAATGCCATGTAATGCATGAAATTACACAACTTTTTGCTAAAGTAATGCATTATATTACAATTACATGTAATGCACAAATTGCTGCATTACACATTACATGCAATTACTTGGAAAAATGTAATGCATTACCATGCATTACAATTACAAATTTGCATTACCCCATGCCTGATTGACACAACATTCAAGCTTGATACAGCATTGAGTTTGGATTGTAATTAAATATTTGACACAGCATAGGTTTCTGACACAGAATGAATGTGGTCTAAGAACTTAAAAATTTGAAATTGGACATTTACCTATTATGGTCCAATATCCAAAATCTAAATACATTAGATTCAGCATATGAAAGAACCCCAAGAATTCAATTTTTGATGTAATCAAACAAAATTTAATTTTGGATCCTTTGGACCTCAATGTGGACCAATAGACCACTTTCGAGTTATGTCCTTCATTGGAAAAGTTCGTCAATTATGGGCAACTTTCTGACGTCATTTACCAGATAGAGGGGACTGCCTATATCCCCCGCTATTAAAGTTCATCAAGCGTCTACGTGCTCGTCATTATGCAGGATAAAATGGACATAATGTTTGTTCCCTAGGTACTTAATCACAATTCCCTAATGACAGCAGTGCTGATTATCCATTATAAGAATTTAATTTGCCGAATAATTTGTGCAATACAGCATCATATTTTTTCAACCGCTCGCTCAACATGAGAAGTAGGTGATGATGCACCTAAACACACGAATTATGTTCACTAAAATCAAAGTTTTTGATGGAAATGATACGAACTCATTCTATTTGATAACAGGGTCCAAAATCCAAAATCTAAATACACTATTAGATTCAGAATATCAAAGTACCCCTTCATGTACTGGTATATTAATTTTTGTTGATATCAAAAAAAGTTTAATTTTGGATCCTGATTTGGATCTAATTGAAAACAGGGCCCAAAATAAAAATATAAATACATGTTTGGAATCAACATATCACAGGACCCCAAGAATTCAATTTTTGTTAAAATCAAACAAAGATTAATTTTGGAATCTTTGGACCTCAATGTTGACAAATTAAAAAATGGGCCCAAAATCTAAATACATGGTCAGATTCAGCATATCAAAGAACCCATAGAATTCAAGACTTTGAATTAAACTCCATTGAAACTGGTCAAGAACTAAGAAAATTATCCAAAATATTAGAAAAGTATTGTTTTTTGCCCCTTTTTCTTAACAGTTAGGGCCATAAGCCCAAAAATCAATCCCAACCTTCCTTTTTTGTCATGGAACCTTGTGGTACAATTTCATAGAGATTCATAGACTTATACTCAAGTTATTGTACTGAAACCAGAAAATCCTTGTTTTTTTACCCCTTTTTGGCCCCTAATTACTAAACAGTTTGGGCCATAACCCCCAAAATCATTCCTAACATTCCTTTTGAGATATGGAACCTCGTGGTACAATTTCATAGATATCCATACATTTATACACAAGTTATTGTCCTGAAACAAGAAAAATGCTTGTTTTTGGCCCCTTTTTTGCCCCTAATTGCTCAACAATAAGGACAATAGCCCCCAAAAACCAATCCTTACTTTTCTATTGTGGTATGGAACCTTGTAGTACAATTTCATAGAGATCCATACACTTATACTCAAGTTATTGTCTGGAAACCAAATGTCTTCGGACGACGATGCTGACAATGACACCGCCATACCATTATACAGCCACAAAAATGTTGCGGTCGTATAACAATAAGTACAAATGAATCACCCTCTGAACATAACTAATTTAAACCAACTAATTTTTTGCTAGATTATATGTCTTGGTCCCTTTACATAACTCTGATTAGTGTAAATCAGGTGCCTTTATCTGCACTGTAACTCGTCAGCATTTGGTTTGGTCACATAAGGAATAGTCACTAGTTATTGGTACCACTGGCCCTTATTCATCAACAGCAATATAAAGGCAGGATCTGGGTGAGACAAGTTTTGTGGATTAATATGGTTTGAATAAGCCTATTATAGTTGTTATTGAATATTACACTGTATATGTCATCCATCTATCAACCTTATCTAATTTAATCAAATTGACAAATGTTTTCTAAAATATCTTAACAAATACCTCAATATAATACTGTTCTTTCACAAATGACCTATCAAATCCAACATTATGTCCAATGACAAGTCTGTCTCTCCATCTACTTTTATCTGGTCCATGTTGGTCCATTGACGTTTCTAGTGGTATCAGATCTTCAGGCCAGATTTGTGTAGCAAGCTTATTCTTATCCTCCATTACCCGATCACTGCACCAAGAATACCTGAAAAAATAAATGAAGAAAACATCATTTAAGACTGGTCAGAATTTGATGATGGAATTGTAAATTACAGTTTTCTGAGACAAAGCTTTAACAAGGTTCAAAGATCAGTTATTTATTGTGTAATAATCAAAGATTCAATATTCCAGTCCAGAGGACGTATATACATGTAGATGACAAACAAGTATATATATTTCAAATTAAAAAAAAACTAAATGTGTCGGAACGACATGAATGGCCCATTACAAAAAAGCTTGAAGCCAATTTTAGTAGTGGAAATTTGAAAATGAAAGTCTGTATAACTGTTATTTTTACAAAATTTTCAAAGTTCAATATGTGAAGGCATTTAGAAAAAAATTCTGTATAACTGTTTGTTGCTGAATGACGGAATGACGGATAAGGGTTAAACTATATATGCCCCTGTCAGAAACTAAGAGGAAAATAACATATTTCATAAGTTGGGAATGAAAGGATATCATGAAGCAAAATTCTCAAGAAGTAGTGATATATCAAATGAACTAAAAGATTTGTCATAATGTTGACAAACATTGTGTGGCATATATCTAATACCTAAAGCATTTAACTTACCAATGTTTAGGAGTAACAGCAGTAGCTAGAGTTGGGTAATGTCCTTCCTGTACCACTAATTCAATATCAAAAACACATACATCTTCTTCTGGAAAGTCAACAGGTACAGCTTTCCCTGTATCTGAGTCATATTTCGTCCATCCAGCAGACATCACCCACTTGTTTGGACATTTTGGCATTTTACTCGCAATTATCATCTCTGCCAGCTTTCTGTATGATTCTGTTTGTTTTTTACCCAACTCTAAGAAATGTTTGTCGATGTCTTTGTCTAAGAGTTTAGGTAACTGGAGCTGAACATCAGGAATAATAGGACAATCTTTATCCCATAAACCATGACTTTCCAAATGATATTGAACTTTCTTCAGTGTTTCAGGATTGACAGAATTAGGTGTTTTCTCGATTTTACCAAAAATCTGTTCATGTAACTTTTCTGACAACATTTGAATGTTGATTGGACTTAATCGTGCTTTGTTTACATCACCACTGTCATGAAGGTATCGTACATGGGCAAACCTTTGGTGTACGCTCCTGTGATTCAAAAGATCATGTCTAGAAGTTATTTTACTCTGTCTGTACTTATATTTCCTAAGACACCAAGAAAGTTTTTGTCCATCTGATTCTATTTTGACAGATTTCAAACATCCACATGATACTTTTCCAATTTTGTGCATTTTTTACCATGTGCTTGAGCTGAGAATAAAAAGTTTTATAATTCATTTATACTCACAATAGTACAATTCTCATTACATATAATCAATTTGAAAGCAGGAGGGCTAGACTGCTGAATTAAGGAGAAATTCAAGATAGTTGTTGTTTTAATGTGGAGGTTGAAATAGTTGTATCAAGTGAAATTTTTCTATGCATCAGCCTAGATTTTCACATGCATTTATAAATGATTTTAATAGACAAAATTTCCACTTGAAATATTCATCCACATTTATTCTTTTTTGACTCTTACCTAAAAGTTGATATTTTCAAGTAGACGACAGTGTGTAGATCCCAACACTGCATAAATTTTTGACGTGACTGTTGTGTGTAAAATGAGATTGGAATCGTAAAAACAGACTATTTCATTACTAAAGTATTCAAGCTAAATTTAGTCGCTGACATGATACGTTATACTATAGTTTATTATTGTTTCGTTTTTACTTGTGTACTGATACAGGTAAATAATTTTTGGAGGTATAGTTATCTCCCTTATTCAGATATTTTATTTTTACTTTTACAGCAGATATGTCAACCCCTGCTAGTGGAAAATGGCAGAAGAAAATAAACCTGCTCAGATAAATTTGTGCAAAGGGAACAAATAAATGGTTAATTACTTACATATAAAGATATTTTGGTGCAAAATGATGAAAAAAATCATATAGGAACATTGAAATGAATATAATCCTAGTATGTCATTAGTTTACCATGTTTACCTAAGAAAATGATAACTTGCAAATATTGCTCTTTATCAACCATTCAACTGTCCATGTATATCAGTATATATTTTGGAAAATGTTGTTTGTGCTGTATTTAGACCCCATGTCTACCAAGAAATTTGTTTTGCATGCACATGTATAAAAATTGCGGTTTTTATCCAACGCAATCATAGGTTTGAATGTTGTTTTCAATTTAGACTTGTTAATATATATAACAAATATATAACATTTAGGAACAAAAATAAATTAAAATGTATTGTAAAATACCATCTGCAACTCAAATTTGAAGCTTTTTATGGAGAAAATTGAATGATAAAAAGAAATAATTGATAACCAGTTTAGTACAATAGCAGTTAATTATCTTTGAATGTAATTATATTGTTTTATTAAGGAGAGTTACTTTAATCATTTTTATTAGTCATATACAATGTATACAATATATATATATATATATATATATATATCACTTCTATGTATCACAATGTCAATATTTTATTGAAATTTAGATTGTTGCTTAAAGTCAAATCATATGTATTGTAGATCAAATAGTCTCACTCTCATACCTGGAATTGATACAATTTGCCATCAAATATCCTCAGCTGTGGATATCAAAAATAAAAATGTAGATTCTGGAACTAAAAATTAATCTTTATTATCCTTCATCTTCAATACCATATAACTTTGATTAAAATGAATATATCATGTATAGTCCATTGAGCAGTCAGAAAAATGGTTGACCTATATTTTATGGAAATTTTCTGCAAATCAATCATTTTAAAGATCTTGAAATTCAGAGCACTTTTTACAATTACCGGGGTAATGCCTTTTACCCCTATGTTTTTCTTTAGTGATGGTGGTCTGATGATGTTCATTGACTGACTGGAAAAAAATGTACAACCTTAATACATGATACCATAAGAATCATTTAACCCAAGTTTAGTTGAAATTGGTTCAGTAGTTTCAGTGGAGAATTTCTTGAAAAAAGAATATGATGACAGACAATGACAGGAGCTAGCTGGCAATAGCTATAATTAGCTCACATGGCATTACAGACCCAGGTGAGCTATAAAGGAAAGAAACCAGACAGCATACTTCATCTACCTGTTTTTGCATCTTGGCAGTACATATGTAATATTGGTTTAACTTGTAAAAAATATTAACATGCTTTATCATATTCTAATAAATAAAATAATTGTTACTAATTTCCAACTAAATTGCGATTAAAAAAAAAAGAATTATTTTCTTGGCCTGCATTTGCGTCACATGGGAAGTTTTCCTGTTGATTGATTTAGGTTGGCACCAACAAAAATACAAATGAATGAAAACACACAATGTTTTAATAATTATATCACTTTGTTGTCTTAAAAAATCATCTGCTAACAGTAAGACAGGTGCATATGCACTGTCTTTATACAGTTATAAGCACAATAACGGTGAAAAATGAGGATAAACAGAAATTTCTCCGACACCTGCTTTATGTCCAAAAAAATCAGTCAACTGACAGACCCCTACTGTGACTGCTCTTAAAGATGAGCTACTCACTTAAATGCCACCTTTTTATTTAAATGTCTTATCAATTTATTTTGGTCGTTTTAGCGGGATAAGGGGCGTAACTCTTACTAATAACCGAAAATGCAGAAATCTGCAAACTAGTCATCAGAAAATCAATAAACTTCATCAGATTGTTGTCCTGATGATAAAAGGTACTTTCTTGCAGATACCTGTTGAAACAATAACACATTTTAGTCGCAATGCTTCGATAAATTGCAATTTCTTATTTCTCTTGAAATCATAGTCAGCCAAAAGCTTTTTCTGGCTTGTTTGCGTTCTTGAAAACTACCCTTAGTAACAAAATGTAAAAATAAGAAGATTGATTGCCGATGAGACAAATATCCAACGATAGAGAGACCACATATTAAGGGAATTAACGACCGGACAAAATATAACTAACGGCGTGACTTATACTAAATATTATTCATTATCTGGCAGAAGCAGAAATACCGTGACATCCATTACACAATGTCATGCTTACGTAACAGCTTAAGCAGTTGACCATTCAGATAATTAGATTGTGTTTATTTATTTAAATACCAGAGTTGAAGCTGTGACAAATCCTAGTCTACCATATATAATAATACAAATTTAAAAATATTTTTTTGTTGAATCACTATAGTTTGAGACCGATTTTGAAAATATCCTGATCATTTTAGATATGTTTATAGATGATATATTTGTGTGGTATCTTTAACCATTTTTTCAAAATTAGATTTAATGATTGTGAATACCCGTACAGTTTGAGGTAAAACCCCGAGATCCCACCTCGTGAAAATTTAAAGTGCCAGGATCCGTTCATAAATATGTTTTCATTCTATATGGTTTTAAAGACGTCGTGCAAAACAGTATGAGAAGAGCATGACTTTGTGCAATGCTAACAAGTATCGACAGCATTAGGACCATAGGAGTTATTAACCGAATAACAATACATATTTATTTCTTTTTTGATTTATTCAAAATAAAACAATAACGTTGAAGCAAGGATTTTAGCAGGTAATGTGCTTACTACCGTTGAAAATCCTTGAATAAAGAACTAATAACAATTCTAAATTGATAACATGTGAGAATGAATTTATTCAAAGGATCATTCAATAAGTGTACATGAGTCGTATCTTAATTTACGGGCTCTATAGCATAAATTATCATGTGATATCCCGTTTGTGATAAATAAGGTTTTTTAGTTGTACAATGCAGAATCTCCAGACCAAATCTTTGTATCAATGAAAGTATTTAGTGAATGCTTTAAGTAATTTTGTGGTATCGAAATACCTGACTAATTTACAAGTTATGCATAGATCATATGGTACGTTTATTGAAATCCAAAATGTCATTTCAGACACGAGCATATGGAACAAGTTGGAAAATATCACCGCCCTAAAAAGTGTACATTTGAAATATCCAAATCTAGAAAAGTATCTAATTAATGCTGTTTCATTTATTAAAAGGTGATTTCCATAGAGGGAATTTCCACAGTATGAATAGAAATTTGTGGAGCATTTTAAGCAAGAGTATTACCATGATAACGGTAACTGGTTATTATTTTTTCTGTTATATCTAGACGAATGTTTACTGAGTTTGACAATAAACTGTAATTCACAACGACCAAGGAACAAGTCTGATATCAAAACTCAATACTTCACAGTGGAATTCGTTTAGACTAAATTATTCGATTTAATTTTTCATTGGAGTAAAATGGTTTTATATCCTCTCGCAAAGCGGCAAATGCCAGACGAATCACACGTTTTTACAAGTTTAGTAGCTCATTGCTCATTTCCAAACTTGCATTTGGGGACCAAACCAAGCTTTATCCAATCATATATTGCTATACTTACATAACCCCAACTAACACACAGACCTAGCACTAGGCGTATAATCCTAAAACCTAACCATTAACCGTAAAACCAGCCCTAACGTAACCCAAACTTTGGCTGTTCTCCTTACCATAAAAAGGCTCCCTAAGATAAACCAGAGACATGAATCTGATGTTCAGTTGTTGTCGTTTGTTGATGTGGTTCATAAGTGTTTCTCGTTTCTCGTTTTTTATATAGATTAGACCGTTGGTTTTCCCGTTTGAATGGTTTTACACTAGTAATTTTTGGGGCCCTTTATAGCTTGCTGTTCGGTGTGAGCCAAGGCTCAGTGTTTAAGACCGTACTTTGACCTATAATGGTTTACTTTTATAAATTTTGACTTGGATGGAGAGTTGTCTCATTGGCACTCATACCACATCTTCTTATATCTACATATAATATTACTGTCTCTGCAGAAATGAGGCACAGTACTTCGGTAGTTGCATGACAATACAGATTTTGTTTTATTGAAAACTGTAAAACTTAGGAAATCATTCAAAATTAAGAAATGTGTCTCATTCATGCAAAGCTTCGATACCTTGTCCGGGTTTTGCTATACTGTTTGCCCTTTTCGGTTAAAGCAGCTCATCAACGTTCAATAATTTTGTATAAGTTTATGAATTTTTAAATGTTTTGGCTTCGAATATCACTGAAAAGACATTTATTGTCGAAATGCGCATCAGGTGTAGTAATGTAAAAATAAGGAGATGTGATATGATTGCCAATGAGACAACTATATATATATATCCACCAGAGTTCAAATGAAGTGGATATAGGCCATCATACGGTCTTCAACAATGAGAATAACCCATACCTAATAAATTCGGTAACTCAAAATTAAACATTGCGTTGTATTAAACGTTGCGGGTAGCTGAATATATCTTCCTTTGTCCATAATTTTAGTTAGTTCAAAAGAGAGGCGCGAAAGATACCAAAGGGATATTCAGACTCATAAGTCGAAAACAAACAGACAAACTGATCAACACGAACCCCATAAAACGGTTGTGATCCCTGGTGCTTCGGAAGGGTAAGCAGATCCTGCTCCACATGTGGCACCCATCGTGTTGCTCATCCAAGTATAAACCCGGTGATAAGTCTTATTCGGTAGGTCACATTCGAGGAATAGAAGACGGGATTGTGGTTACGACAATTGGAACACATCTGTGAAACAGATATTCCATAACGGTCAACCAACTCGTCACATGGCGACTGCAAAATTTTCGAAGCTGGGATGATGATTTTAACTGCACCAGTTAGAACTCTTGGTTCAATGACGTCTTTGTAAGCAGTAACCTTCTATCAAGGAAATCATGATTAGGAAATGAAAGCTCTGTAATATGGTATACACTGGGAGATATATATACTCCATATGCAGGCTCTCCTGGAATTATAATGTAGGTCCATAAAAATGGAAAGTTCACATTTGCAAGCTGAAATCATCTCTATTGTCGTAAAGTTTTGTTCTCAACTAGATTACAATTGTGGACAAAGGAAGATAAATTCAATTTTGAATATTACGTATGTGCATGATGCACAATTTATGTATTTTTATAAGTATGGTTATGCATATACCAGCACATCGTTTTGTAAATTGAAATCTGAGTATATAATTCATTAGTAAACTTCTTCACGTTCATGGATAGGATGTAAAGTATATTTTGCTCAAAGCACTATGTTTTTTTAATCTCAAAAGTACTGAAAGTCTAGAAATTGATAACTATCAAGTTTACCCAAATAAAACAAACTGGGTATATACAGAATATACAAAATATAAAATGGCAGCTCTTTTATACTTGTATCGTAGAGTGGTTGTATCGGACACAACGAAAGGCTAAGAAAACCGTCTGCTTGCACTAATACTTGTATTGGAGCTAAAAAGTACGTAACGTCACAAAAGCGGTATCACGGCAGAAACATCATTTGTAGAAATGCTCATTTGGTGCAGCAACTGTTTATTTCAATGTACTCAAGTTTGACCAACATTGTGTATTTTATTTTTACCTTATAGCTTGGCGTCAGCTTGTTGATAGGGTTTTGGATGGTCGAAGAAATAAACACAAAGTTTTGAGTAATTATGATTTTGATGTTAAAAATTGGTGTTAAACTGTACACCTTTTTAGTTTATTATAGGTTTATTTTTAGTTTGGTTTCTGTGTGCGTTTTTCTTCCCTGATGGCTGGTTGGTTCTGCAAATCAAGTTGACGTGACTTAAAAAAAAAATAATATAAAAAAAAACACACAAACTGACAAGATGTGGCTTAATGTATGCCTTTCATTATAGAGTGCTAATAATATAGGGGCAGATCATCTTCCTTCAGTCTCTGGTGGATATGACTCATCAATTGACAATCAATCATACGACATCATGGCTCCTCTTCATGTTTTGTATTTGAAAAAAAAAACTTGTTTTCTAATATTTTATTTATATATTGCACGGACTGTATAGTAATCTTCGTTTCTCATCATTATTTTCAAACTATTTTGAATTTTACATATTTTGATGATTATAGATGTACTGTTTTGTATCTTTTTTTTTTAGATATTCTCAATCAGATTGTACCATGTTCAACTCACAAATGTAAGACATTCAGTCTATCGGCAGTGTGCTTGTGTCTGATACAAACTTGCGTTGATGCGAATTCCAACCATAGTAAATAAAATAATATATATTATATCTGATACTATTTTAACTATGTGTTGTAGTAATCTAAGGTTATATCTATAATGGGGAAACAAAACGTATTTTTAAGGCAAGCTTGTCATGCAATAGAAGTTCCACTGGAAGAAATATTACAATATTTTCTACTTAACGGAATAAAGAGTATAGAATATTTGTTCCAAAAGCCTTACAGATATTATAGTATTGTTTATACATGTTATAACAAAGTCCCCAGTGATACTTCTGTTAGAGTAGCACCTAACCTAAAGACTCTAAAGCTAGTTAATAGAACACACCAATCTTAGTATGCATCAAACGCGGCATTGATTCAGAATAGTGACAGGTCAAAATACAGACATTATGGCGGACGAACGAATGGATGAGTCTCGTAAAACCATGAAAATCACGGTTAAAACACCGAAAGAAAAGCAGGAAATGGAAATTGATACTCATGCCCACGTTAAGGAGGTAAATCCGTCTGTAGAAAGCTATAAAATTTTCCTGAATCCTCTCTTTATTCCACATCAAAGTTTACTTCACACACCGCATATGTCAATAATATTCATTATCTAGAATGTTCTATTTAATCCATCCAGAAGCATACAATTACATCAGCTTATCACTTTTAATAGACATTGGCTTTGCTCAACTCCACAAATATTATCGTACTTGGGAAAGATTCGTAAAACTAACTAAACCCAAAGTTGGCCAAACCCAGGTTGGAAATTGGAGAGTCAGACTGTGCAACCCTCTAACATAAATTATAATCATTAGACATTACTTACTTTGCCTTAATTCGTAATTCTTGGTGATTCTGTGTCTGAAATGATTCTCTGATAATGCCGCCCACTTAGTCATTTTTCAAAGCCAATAATAAACACTTCAATATTTCAATGAGCTATTTACACCTCAAACCCTAGGTTGGAAATAAAAAAAAAAAGGTATTATGATGCCACTTTTTTGCCTTTGGGGCCGTAAATCATTTTGTTCATATGTTGTTTCGGTTATATACCAGTGAGACCTTGGTTGTAAGTGTCTAATTTGTGATGATGTCATCATTACGATAGCAATGAAGGCATGGAAGGCGTAAACTACAATTTTGACCCCTTGTTCTAATTGCAGTATCATGATAGTTGAAAAGGCCCAGTAACACAGTTATTTTAAATTTACATGAAAATGTTGTTGGTTCCTGATTTTGAACTCTCCCGAAGGGAGACAATCGTGATCGGCGATAATTAACCAATCAAAATTGGTATTTCATTATCAAGTTTTCATCTCCTGATTAATGGGGAATTGTCAGCAAGAAAAATTAGAACTTGTTTGGATCATTTTAAGTTTAATTCCTGTGTATGTACATGTATGTCAGAATTTCAAAAATCATCCATGGGGCACAAATGATAATTTTGAAGAAGGTTCTTATGCCCAGGGTTTAAGCTAGGATTTTTAGGGCTTTAGTCACTTTTGCGCGAGATGAAAATCAACATTATTTTGGATAACAGCAAAGGACCAAGGATGTATGTATATTAATAGCTATACATCTTTGTCAGACTTTGAAGGACTAAGGCATAAATTTACTAGGCAGTAATTGCATGACTTGACTGATTTGTCACTTAAATATGAAGATTAGGATATAAGATCTGAAAATCTAGTTCAAAATTTTACTTCAATTAGTTTCAGGGGACATTCCTGATCAACAAAAGTTGGGTTCCTTTTTTTAAAACAAGGAATCACAGTATAAATGAACTTGTTGAACTTTGTAAGACTATTACACTGCATAATCATTATCCTTATAAGACATTAAAATCAATATTTTGAATTAATTTCTATAAAGTTGGAACCAAGGATTTGTACAGATTCACATGGAACGATTCCAATAACTGTAAGTTGTAAATTAATCAAGAATTGATCACGTTTACTTTCGATTTTCAAATGAAATGTAAATGGGAAGTGACAAGTAGATAATAAATTCAGAATGAATCCGGATTCATCTACGGATTGGTTCGTGTTTAAAAAAGGCAGGAAATTATCATTTTCTTATTTCAATTTGCTTAGTAAGAACTATATTTGTCTCTCTCATTTATTTTGGCACTAAATTTATTTCGAAAAACGTATTTTACGTTTTAGTGTCTATAAATTCATAGAATTCCTTTCACGCATGCGCAGTATATCATAAAGGAAGCACCTGTTTGACTCGTTGATGATGATGGAATTTTTTAACGTGAAAACATTTCTGAACGTTTTGAATAAAGTTCTATCTTTTGAATGGAAATTGAACGTTTTATATCAAAGATGACGAAAATACGATCATTTGACGAAACTACGACAAACGACCTGCAAATTATGATCGTTTTAGAAATATTGAAATTAAAAGGCGAACTGTCCGGGGGAAAACAATTTTGTTCAAACTACGACAAGCGAACTGCAAATTGTGGTCGGTGGCCTTGAGAAATATTGAAATTAAAATGCAGACTGACTAATTTTACTGGGGATATAATTAACCGGATTAGTGACCCATCCGATGGCGATAAGCGGATTAGCTGTAATCACAACTTTATAACACCTGTTGTAAATGTTAATTAGCTGAGGGTCATAAACTTGTCAGAAACATGTAGACATGTAGAATTATAGTAGTTTCATGCGAAAATATTTTTACATTTTCCAAATTTAAGTGACGAAATTGATTTGAAATACTTTCGTCATTTTGAAAACAGTTTCGTAAATGATGAAAGTGACGAGCGCTAGCAAAATCACTGCTTATGCCGCCTTAAAAGAAAAGCTGGCTAATTGACAATTCAACTATAGGGATATCACATGCCTTTTTGTAAAGTTAGCACTAGATACCCCTATGATGAACATGGCGGCCTGACAAGGAAGTTGTTAACTGCATAAGAAGTCCTACATAGATGTACCTCAGAGCACTACTAAGTCTGTCAATAACTTTTTTGTACGACCAGATAATGACCAACTCCAACGGTCAAGCAAGTACAAAATGTATGTACATTTAATACAAAGTAACTGTACATTAGACATTTTTGTTGCTTCAAAGTTAAATCAAACTATTAAAATATGAATCTGGTTTAATATAAGTCAATGAAGTGTGCTTGCTTTGATACATTTTGAGTTGCAGTGCTACCACGAACATATTAAACAGTAGCTTATATGGACATGACACTTATTGCAACATATCCAGTGTTGTCATTCTGGTTAATATTAAATTATCAAATGAATTCAAGTTTTGTCTTCAATTTTCCTGGAGGAATCAGATAAATGTCTTTGACTACATTTATAAGTGGGAAAAGTCAACAGTCACTTACATGTATTCCTACACTGTCACAAGAAAATATTTTAGCTACATGTACTATCTTTTCTACACAATGATATATATATTCAGTACAAGAATCATTTAAATAAAAATATAAAGAAAAAAGAAGCCATATGACATTATTTCTAGTTTTGAAAAATGTGCATGCAAACACACCACAAAAAATTGTAACCCTTAATTTAATCTCGATTTTCCTTGTCAGCGGCCATTTTTTTACCTGTGAGACTTGTCAATCACAAGTTGTCTCCCTTTTACTGATTTTGATAGCGATTTGACTTCGCTATGAAGTCAGTCGGCCGGCGAGATTTAGCGATTTTCAAAATTCTTTGGCGACTTAAATCGTCATTTCGCCGGCAAGATTATGGCCTGCCCTTAAAAATGATGTCACACACTAAAAACCCCATGTGGATTTTCAAAAGTAGGCAGGTATGTGAACGTGTTATTAAGTTATTTTTTAAAAGTTAAAAATAAAATGAGATAAATCTGATAGTGTATACACCTAATTCTTTTGAAAATAGTAAAAAGTATAGCCAAACAGACTTTCATTACATGGTCAAAACAACAAAGGCTGTAACATCCAAGGCCAAACTGGTTCCATTACCAAAATGTCTTGTTTTCCTTTATTCGCCCCATGAATTCCAAAATCATTATCATATGAAAAGTATCATAAATCCACCAGAAGTTCAGAAGGCATTAATCTGTTAGATATTGTAATTTATATTTTTGAATTTTGTCTTGCATATTTGCTTTAGGGCTTCAAACTTCTTGAATTTAGTGCAAAACTGCATCTACTGCAAACATAGAAGCATTTTGAGATCTGGGCATTAATGTTTAGATATGAGTAACAGCTTTACTGAAAAAGATATTTTTTTAGAAGATGTATTTTATACAGATGTTAATGTGTGTGAAATATCTCTCTGGATCAGGCTGTTGTTCATATCTATTTTGTCCAAAAATTTGTGACATCTCAAGTGACCCTTCTTCACTGAAGTTTTCAGATTATATATAACCTATTCATTTATCAATATATATTAATTGAGATTTGAAAGGCTTGAGTTATTTTACTACTATTGCAATTTTAGGGCCCAAATAATGGCTCCTATCATATACCTTTTCAAGTGGTCATGGTGCATGGAAGCCCAGCCAATATTTTTGGTGGCCATGTGATATGACCAAGCAAACAATTAAAAAAATTAGTAGCCCAGTTCAAACTTTAGGGGCCATAGGCTACTTGGCCCCTGCTTCTTTCCATCTCTGAATCCAGTGCATTATACATGGACGGAATCATTCCATACACCTGAAGCATTGAAGTAAGCCAAAAATAGACAAAGTTTCTTTAATACCCTAAAAAAATCAACAACAAAAAATCAACAAATTTTATTACAATATTAAAAAAAAATGTAGCAAGTTTAGATAAATATACATTGTATATTATCATGATTATAAGCAGTTTGAAAAATTATTGAAAATACAATAAAGTATAAATCAGACTTTGAAAATATTTTAGACGATGATTTAAATAACATCTTTTTTACATGAAATTTCATCAGTTTTTGTCTCGCTTGAATGACGGAGTCAAAAAGCGAGACATAGGTATGCTGGCGGCGTCAACAATGTATTAGTTTGTGATTAGGTCTAGTTTGTGGTGAACCACAAGTTGTAGGTCAATTATATTTGGTATACAGTTGTATTAGCATTGGCACATCTCATTTCCATGGAGATTATTTGGACCTGCCCCCTCAGTCATGGTCTATTGACTTTGAAACTTTTGCTTATTTTACATGTATTAGTTTGTGATTAGGTCAGTTTATGGGGAACCATTAGTGGTAGGTCAATGATATTTGGTATGCAGTTGTATAAGCATTGGCATATCTCATTTCCATGGAAATTATTTGGCCCTGCCCGTCAGTCAATCATGGTCTATTGACTTTGAAACTTTTGCTTATTTTACATGTATTAGTTTGTGATTAGGTCAGTTTATGGGGAACCATTAGTGGTAGGTCAATGATATTTGGTATGCAGTTGTATAAGCATTGGCATATCTCATTTCCATGGAGATTATTTGGCTCAGCCCCTAGGTCATGGTCTATTGACTTTGAAAATTTTGCTTAGTTAACATGTATTAGTTTGTGATTAGGTCAGTTCAAAGGGAACCATTAGTGGTAGGCTAATGTTAATTGGTATTCAGTTGTATAAGCATTAGCACATCTCATTTCAATGGAGAATATTTGGCCCCATCCCCTCAGTCATGGCCTATTGACTTTGAAACTTTTGCTTAGTTTACATGTATTAGTTTGTGGTAAGATCAGTTTAAGATTAACTGCTAATGTTAAGTCAATGATATTTGGTGTGCAAATTTATTGGCATTTGTTAGTATCGTTTCCATGGAGATTATATAGCTCCACCCCCTCTTCATGGTTCATTGACTTTGAAACTTTTGCATAGTTTACAAGTTAATGTTTGTGTTTAGGTTTGTTTAAAGGGAACAACTTATAATAAGTCAATGATATTTGGTATGCAGTTGTATTAGCATTGGCACATCTCATTTACATGGAGATGGTTTAGCCATGTACCTCAGTCATGGTTCATTGACTTTGAATATTAGCCTAACTTGTTAAGTATTGCCATTTTAATTTCAACATTTGCATAATCAAAATTACAAAAAAGAGTGACATATCTCTGTGATAACAGTTTATATTGGAATATCAAAGAAATACATTCATATACAATGTAGGTGTAAAAATACACATTTACAAATTGAAATGAAGTTAAAATGGACAATAGGAATAGTGTAATCTGTGTTAGAAACAATGGAAATTTGACTCTTTCTTTTGAAGTGAAATTTTGGACAAAAATATTTATTACTGTTCATGCAATGATATAGCAGAATTGAAAAATTTTCTCTATTATGCCCCGCCGTAGAGGAGAGGGCATTAAGTTTTACCCTTGTCCGTACATCTGTACATCCCAAAATTAGTTTCCGTTCTCTAACTTTAGTTTGCCTCAGCCAAATGTTATGAAACTTATACACTATGCTTATTACCACAAAACACAGATCAAGTTTGAATGTTGGTGGTGTCACTTTTACCGTTCTAGAGTAATGCCCCTTTAAAAATTTTTTTTAGCAACTATAATCAATTGCATGTAATTGCATAACCCTTATTGTATTATAATCCGAAGGGTCCTCCTAATTGCAGAAGCCCTGAGGGATATCCGGCTTAAGATCGCTAATCACTTGTACAGGTAGATGGACACACCTGACAGGAGAACACTTGATCAAGATAGACGATTAATTGCATTATTTAATTGCGTTTCAGCAAATGCTGATGAAAATTAAGATTAAAAAATAAATTTTAAATCCAGTTACGAAGAAAAAAGTTGAACAAATCGAACACATGCTTTTAAATTGACTTGCGCAATCAGCATCCTCCTTTTTAAACGAACACAAAGTAAGAAGTAAAACAGAACATAACTTCATGCCAAATAACACGAGTACAACAATTATCGATAATATTGAATCACTTTACAGGTTTAAAAGTAAATACATGAATATTAACTGCAATAATCTGAAGAAATTTTGTATAGTCATTCTGAATTCATTTCGTAGTTTACAATCAAATTAAAACATCCAGTTTAAATTCAGAATCGAAAGATGCATGTTGCATAGTCTATTACCATGAAATTTTAAATTTAAAGTCATTAAAACCATTTGTAAACGTTTGCCCTCCAAATCTTTTTTCAACGTTTTACAAAACGGGTACGCAACTTCTTGATGATGCTGAAAATCTTAAATACCAGTTTATGACTTCTGAATTTGACCATGAAAAAAAGATCCCCCCCGATTGGTAAGTCCTAAACCATTACCAAAATAGCAAGAAAACAACTTGGGAACCTTAAGGGCAGCTTATGGTCATTCTTGACTAGGGGGGAGCCATGCAGGCTTGACATTTGAATTGTTAATGAAAATATTGGTTATTCTATAATGAAATAAATATAATAAGCAATATATCAGTCTGTTCACCATTCCTTACATAGAAATGGAGGAATGAAATACTTTCGATCACGACATGCCATAGACACGGGGTTTTGTCATGGTGAAAGTTTCTCCATCGTTAAATTTTCATCCATGGCGATCCCTGGTACATCTGAAAAATTCCTCAGAAAAAAAGATGTATAAATGGAAATTTTGATGATTTTACTGAACTAATAGCTCATGGTTTTGTTGGACAAGCTCTATAGCTATATTTTGTTTGCAAATACTCTCAGCAATATCATTTTTGAACACCTCATATTTGAGATTGAAAATCATGGTACTTCTATATAAAAAATAAACTTGACAAAAATTAAGGTGACAACTTTATTGGCAAATGACAATATATTGTTTAGACTACACTAGTGTCTAAGTGGGTCAAGATGTGCAATTTATTTCCCATAGGCGACAATGGTAGCCTTACTTCCATTCCTCTGTCATTGTCTGTCCATATCGTAAACTTGGATATTGATGATGGCTCGTTTCGAAGCTGAGACATTTTCTCACATGTAGTTAAATTTTCGAGGTACGAAGTGAGATTAAATTTTTCACAAATTAGGCAACCCCGAAAGGCTCCATGTGATGCTGCTTCAGCAAGTGAAAAGCCCTTATTTTCACACATTTAATTCACTGGAAATTCAGTTCTGTACTACTAACAATTAATAACTACTAAGTTTTTACATCTTTATTGTACAGCCTACTGCTCTTCTAAAAAGCACAAATGATAAAGCTCAGTCAATTACTAAAAACTGCATCATGTCCAATTTTATTGCATACAGGTTTTTTTATACGACCGCAAAAAAATTTTTGTTTGTTTTAATCGTCCGAAGACACATTAGTTTTCGCACTCTTACTTTAGTTTAGGTGAATGGATCTCAATGGAATTTTACCATAAGGTTCAATACCACAAAAGGAAGGTGGGGATTGATTTTGGGGGTTATGGTACCAACAGTTCAGGAATTAGGGGTCAAAAAGGGGCCAAAAATAAGCATTTTTGTAACTTCCAGACATAACTTGTGTGTAAGTGTATGGATCTCTCTGACATTATACCACAAGGTTCCATATCACAAAGGGAATGCTGGGATTGATTTTGGGGGTAATTGCCTCCAAATTTTAGGAATTATGGGCAAAAAACAAGCATATTTCTAGTTTCATGACAATAACTTGTGTGTAAGTCTATGGATATCTCTGACATTGTTTCACAAGGTTCCATATCTCAAAGGGAATGCTGGAATTGATTTTGGGGGTAATTGCCTCCAAATGTTTTGGAATTAGGGGCCAAAAAGGGGCAAAAAACAAGCATTTTTCTAGTTTCATGACAATAATTTGTGTGTAAGTGTATAGATCTCTCTGACATTGTACCACAAGGTTCCATATCACAAAGGGAATGCTGGGATTGATTTTGGGGGTAATTGTCGTCCGAAGACACATTGGTTTTCGCACTCTAACTTTAGTTTAAGTGAATGGATCTCTATGAAATTTTACCATAAGGTTCAATACCACAAAAGGAAGGTGGGGATTGATTTTGGGGGTTATGGGACCAACAGTTAAGGAATTAGGGGCCAAAAATAAGCATTTTTGTAACTTCCAGACATAACTTGTGTGTTAGTGTATGGATCTCTCCGACATTGTACCACAAGGTTCCATATCACAAAGGGAATGCTGGGATTGATTTTGGGGGTAATTGCCTCCAAATTTTAGGAATTAGGGGCCAAAAAGGGGCAAAAAACAAGCATTTTTCTAGTTTCATGACAATAACTTGTGTGTAAGTGTATGGATCTTTTTGAAATTGTACTACAAGGTTCCACATCACTAAGGGAAAGCTGGAATCTATTTTGGGGGTAATTGCCCACAACGTTTAGGAATCAGGGGCCAAAAAGGGGCCAAAAATATGCATTTTTCTAGTTTCCAGACAATAACTTGTGTTCAAGTGTATTGATCTCTCTGAAATTGTACTGCAAGGTACCATACCACTAAGGGAAGGCTGGGATTGATTTTGGGGGTAATTCCCTAGAAATTTGAGGAATTAGGGGCCATAAAGGGGCAAAAAAAATAAGCATTTTTCTAGTTTCAGGACAATAACTTGTGTGTAAGTGTATGGATCTTTATGAAATTGTACTGCAAGGTTCCATATCCCAAAGGGAAAGCTGGGTTTGAGTTTGGGGTAATTGCCCTTAATGTTTAGGAATTTGGGGCCAACAAGGGACCAAAAAACAAGCATTTTTCTAGTTTCCAGACAATAACTTGTGTTCAAGTGTTTGGATCTCTCTGAAATTGTACATGTGAACCTCCCGACGGGAGTACAATAATCCTGTTTTCAGGGGTTTCCTCCTGACCTCCCTTTGAAGACAAAAAAATCCCGTGTATGAAATATTTCATGAATGAAAAATTTCAGCCCAACATATCTGGTGTAACTGACATTACCTGAAGTTATATTTTACCTGTAAATCAATTAACATGCATAATTATATGGCTTCACTTGTCACCTTGGGTGTCAAACATACTGGTTATCAACGATTTTGACCTCAGGCTAACTGCCGTTGTGTAATAAAACTTTGTGTAGTTAAAATGAATGTTGGGTTACTTCCCTTGATTTATCCTGTTTTAAGTTACTTTCCTTTAAATAATGCAAATTTTTAAAAGAATATAAATAAAATATAAATTGAACAAATAATCATAAAAGGATGGTAATTAAATGATTTAAAATGTCTTAGGACAAATAAAAAAATAATTATTTGAAAATTATTTGAGGGTTCTATACTTCCTTTCAAGGCTTAAATTGAAATTTATATAATAACTATGACCCATGTATACAGATTGAACGTATTACTTATCAAGCATTATAAATCTACTTGCATAATATAAAGATAAAAAAAAAAAAAATCTACTTGCATAAGGATAAAACAAAAGATCTACTTGCAGATAGATAAGTAATTGTTTTGATTGCAATGAATAATGGTAAAACAGATATGACCTAAAAAATTTAGAGAACATACTAAAAAAGAAGAATGTTAGATTGAACAAGTTGAAAGTTTAAAAAGATAGAGAAAATTAATAAGTACAAGGGTACTATAAACATAATACATTCGGATGGAAAGTTGAAGAAAACACACTTTAACAGACAATTTCTACTGCACACAGTTACAATGACGACAGAATTTATGTCGATTAAAAACCTCCTGATCTGAGTCCTAATCTCCTGACCAAAATTTCCCAAACTCCTGATCTTAGTTTCACAGTCCATCACATGTATGAACTTGAAGTTGAAGGTACCATACCACAAAGGGAAGGCTGGGATTGAGTTTGGGGGTGATGAATCATAAGGGGGTTCAGAAAATTTGGGGGGGGGATTTTTTTTTCATTTTTTATACGACCGCAAAAAAATTTTTGTGGTCGTATATTGGTATGACGTTGGCGTCGTCGTCGTCGTCCGTCGTCGTCGTCCTGCGTCGTCGTCCGAATACACATTGGTTTTCGCACTCTAACTTTAGTTTAAGTGAATGGATCTTTTTGAAATTTTACCATAAGGTTAAATAACACAAAAGGAAGGTTGGTATTGATTTTGGGGGTTATGGTACCAACAGTTAAGGAATTAGGGGCCAAAAAGGGGCCAAAAATAAGCATTTTCTAGTTTCCAGACAATAACTGTGGAACAGTGTATGGATCTCTCTGAAATTATACTACAAGTTTCCATACCTCAAAGGGATGGTTAGGATTTGCTTTGGGGGGTTATGGCTCAAACCGTTTAGGAATTAGGGGCAAAAAAGGGGGAAAAACAAGGTTGTCCTGGTTAATGGACAAATACTTTAGTACAAAACATAATTTAAAGCAGTGTAAGGGAGATAAATCAAATACATCATTGAAATTATCTCCCTTACACTGCTTTTAAATTATGTATAAAGTAATGGTTAATGAACAATAAAGATAATTTAAAACAGTGTAAGGGAGGTAATCCAAATACACCGTTTTGGTTACTTCCCTTACACTGCTTTTAAATTATGTTTAAAGAAATGCATATTTATAAAGGAAGACCAGTAAAAATATCTGCAAATGTTGCATCATTTTATTTTACAAAAAAATCTATATGAAAGATTTGACACTATATTTTTAATTCTATTATAAAATAGATTAAGTTAGCACTATGGTAAAATTAAATGGGTAATTATGGTTGCCAACTCCATTGGAAATTTGAATTGAGATTATGACCATATCTTGAGGGAAAGAATTTTTTGGGGGAAAAAAGGGGGGGGGGGGATAAAAAGAAATTGTGGGGGGTCAATTTTTTCTCATTTCAGATTTCAGAAATTAAAAAGAATTATTCTTCAAATATTTTTTTTTTTTCAAATTTCAAATATTGAAAAATTTCAAGAAGTAATCTTTAATTGCACAGTATGGCGCATTAGATTTGTAAAATCTTTGATCACATTTATTTATTTGTTATGCTGAATCTAACAGTGTATTTAGATTTTTAATTTTGGGTCCAGTTTTCAAAATAGTCTACATTAAGGTCCAAAGGGTCCAAAATTAAACTTTGTTTGATTTTAGCAAAAATTGAATATATGAGGTTCTTTGATATGCTGAATCTAAACATGTATTTAGATTTTTGATTTTTGGCCCAGTTTTCAAGTTGGTCCAAATTGGGGTCCAAAATTAAACTTTGTTTGATTTCAACAAAAATTGAATATATGGGATTCTTTGATATGCTGAATGTAACCATGTATTTAGATTTTTTATTTGTGGACCCCGTTATCAAATTGGTTCATATTGAGGTCAAAAGGGTCCAAAATTAAACTTTGTATGATTTCATCTAAAATTGAATTATTGGGGCTCTTTGATATTCCAAATCTAACCGTGTATTTAGATTTTTAATTTTGGGTCCTGTTTTTTAAATTGGTCTACATTAAGGTCCAAAGGGTCCAAAATTAAACTTAGTTTAATTTTAACAAAAATTGAATTCTTGGGGTTCTTTGATAGCTGAATCTAAACATGTGTTTAGATTTTTGATTATGGTCCCAGTTTTCAAGTTGGTCCAAGATAGGGTCCAGTATTTAAACTTTGTTTGATTTCAACAAAAATTGAATATATGGGGTTCTTTGATATGCTGAATCTAAACATGTATTTAGATTTTTGATTATGGGCCCAGTTTTCAAGTTGGTCCAAATTGGGGTCCAAAATTAAACTTTGTTTGATTTCAACAAAAATTGAATATATGAGGTTCTTTGATATGCTGAATCTAACCATGTATTTAGATTTTTTATTTGTGGGCCCCGCTATCAAATTGGTTCATATTGAGGTCAAAAGGGTCCAAAATTAAACTTTGTTTGATTTCATCAAAAATTGAATTATTGGGGTTCTTTGATATGCCAAATCTAACCGTGTTTTTAGATGTTTAATTTGGGTCCCGTTTTTTAAATTGGTCTTCATTGAGGTCCAAAGGGTGCAAAATTAAACTTAGTTTGATTTTAACAAAAATTGAATTCTTGGGGTTCTTTGATATGCTGAATCTAAACATGTGTTTAGATTTTTGATTATGGGCCCAGTTTTCAAGTTGGTCCAAGTTGGGGTCCAAAATTAAACTTTTTTTGATTTCAACAAAAATTGAATATATGGGGTTCTTTGATATGCTGAATCTAACCATGAATTTAGATTTTTTATTTGTGGGCCCCGCTATCAAATTGGTTCATATTGAGGTCAAAAGGGTCCAAAATTAAACTTTGTTTGATTTCATCAAAAATTGAATTATTGGGGTTCTTTGATATTCCAAATCTAACCGTGTATTTAGATTTTTAATTTTAAGTCCTGTTTTTTAAATTGGTCTACATTAAGGTCCAAAGGGTCCAAAATTAAACTTAGTTTGATTTTAGCAAAAATTGAATTCTTGGGGTTCTTTGATATGCTGAATCTAAACATATGTTTAGATTTTTTATTATGGGCCCAGTTTTCAAGTTTGTCCAAGTTGGGGTCCAAAATTAAACTTTGTTTGATTTTAACAAAAATTGAATATATGGGGTTCTTTGATATGCTGAATCTAACCATGTATTTTGATTTTGGACATTGGACCATAATAGGTAAATTAAAAAAATTCAAGTTCTTAGACCACATTCTTTCTGTGTCAGAAACCTATGCTGTGTCAAATATTTAATAACAATCCAAATTCAGAGCTGTATCAAGCTTGAATGTTGTGTCCATACTTGCCCCAACTGTTCAGGGTTCGACCTCTGCGGTCGTATCAAGCTGCGCCCCAGCGAAGCATTTTATTTTCTTTAAAATTTTCCATTTTAAATTGGTTATTTCTGATTAATATATAAAAGCAAATAATAATGATATGGTTTGAATAGATAAATTAAATTTTTTTAAGTTCTTAGACCACATTCATTCTGTGTCAGAAACCTATGCTGTGTCAAATATTTAATTACAATCCAAATTTAGTGCTGTATCAAGCTTGAATGTTGTGTCCATACTTGCCCCAACTGTTCAGGGTTCGACCTCTGCGGTCGTATCAAGCTGCGCCCCAGCGGAGCATTTTATTTATTTCTATTTATAGTTTGAGTACCTCACTTTGAGGCGCATTAGGGATATTGATCCGAGTGTAGTGCTACTCGCCCCTGGTAATATATCTTTTCTTTCTTTTTTTCACAGTTACGAGAAATGGTGTCACAAAAATTTAGTGCACCAGTTGAACAGCTTTGTTTGATATTTGCTGGAAAAATACTGAAAGATGAAGACACTCTAGAACAGCATCAAATAAAAGATGGTTTGACAGTTCATCTTGTGATAAAATCATCAAACAGGGTAAGCATTTGTAGTTCACATGACCAAACACTCATTGTCCTTTCTAACTATTGAAGTGTACCTTTATATTTGATGGTTGGTTTATGAAGATAGTTTTGATCAGTGGTTTATATTTGAATCATGCACATAACTTAAGCATTGAAAATATACATTTTGTATGGTATTAAAATATTTTTTTTAAATCAAGTAAACTCTGTAATCAACAAAAATTTATATCCTAATGTATTTATCATATATTAGTAGATTATATATATATATATATATATATATATGTGTGTAAAGTGCCTAGAAAATCAACCTAACAATGTTAGAGTAGACTAGATTCTTTACTTCCTTCCCAAGCAGGCTGGAACCTGTACTTTTCACTTACCACTTCTACGACAACACCGCCTAGCATTGCACAGACAACTTATCCCCTCCTCTAGGTATTAAACAAGGTTGTCTAATAACAATACACAAAGTATTTTTATGCCCCCGCCATAGCAGAGGGGCATTAAGTTTTACTCTTGTCCGTCCGTCCCAAAATTGGTTTCCATTTTCTAACTTTAGTTTGCCTCAACCAAATGTTATGAAACTTATACACAATGCTTATTACCACAAACGCATATCAAGTTTGAATTTTGGTGGCGTCATTTTTACCGTTCTAGAGTTATGCCCCTTTAAAATTGAAAAATTGCTGAATTTTTCTTTTTCGTTTCCGTTCTCTAACTTTAGTTTGCCTCAACCAAATGTTATGAAACTGATAAACAATGCTTTTTGGTTTATGTTCGCTAACTTAAGTTTGACTCAACTAAATGTTATGAAACTTATAAATAATGCTTATTATCACAAAACTCGGATCAATTACATATTTGGGTAGCATCACTTTTACAGTTCTTGAATTATGTCTCTTTATAACGTTATATGCAAGCGGGGGCATCATCTGTTTCCCATGGACACATTCACCATTTATTAAGTGTACAGGAATGATCATCTATTCATCTCTTCACAGTATGATTTATTTTTATAGTCACAAGAACAAGCTGCACAGAGAGCTGCCCCTGCATCCAGTCCATCAGCTGGAGGAACAACAATACCTAGTTCTACACCTGGGGTAAGTTTTTGGGGAAGGTTAAGTCAGGTTAGATCGTCATACAAGCTTTATGAAATTTATAAAGTGAAAGTTTTACAGGCACTTCAACAAGACAATGAGGGAACTTTTAACATACAATATTTGCTTGCCCTAATTTTCTAAAGGAAAAAAAGATTTTAGAAACTTACAAAAAAATCCTTGATTTACTATATTTGTAAAGAATTGCTAAGGAAAACAACATTCAATTTTGGAGGCAAGTATTGACTTTCCTTGTTGCCTCGTCTTGACAGAGTCAAAAAGTAAGACATAGGTATGCTGTTTCCGGCGTCGGCAGCGTCAACAATGTATTAGTTTGTGATTAGGTCTAGTTTATGGTGAACCACTAGTGGTAGATCAATAATATTTGGTATGCAGCTGTATTAGCATTTGCACATCTCATTTCCATGGAAATTATTTGACCCTGCCCCCCTAGTCATGGTCTATTGACTTTGAAACTTTTGCTTAGTTTACATGTATTAGTTTGTGATTAGGTCAGTTTATGGGGAACCACTAGTGGTAGGTCAATGATATTTGGCATGCAGTTGTATAAGCATTGGAATATCTCATTTCCATGGAAATTATTTGGCCCTGCCCCCTCAGTCATGGTCTATTGACTTTGAAACTTTTGCTTAGTTGATATGTATTAGTTTGTGATTAGGTCAGTTTAAGATGAACTGCTAATGTTAAGTCAATGATATTTGGTATGCAAATTTATTGGCATTTGCAAGTCTCGTTTCCATGGAGATTATATAGCCCCAACCCCTTATCATAGTTCATTGACTTTGTAACTTTTACATGGTTTACAATTTAATGTTTGTTTTAAAGTTTGTTTAAAGGAAACGACTTATTAGAAGTCGATGGTATTTAGTATGCAGTTGTATTAGCATTGGCACATCTCATTTCCATGGAGATTGTTTAGCCATGTACTTTCAGTCATGGTTCATTGACTTTGAATATTTACATAACTTACATGTTAAAAGTATTGCTCTTTTTATTTCAACATTTGCATTAACAAAATTACAAAAAGGCGAGACATATCTCTGTGTTAACAGTTTATTTTAAGATATGGTTTGAAGGTTAAATTGTAGGAGCAAATAAAAAAGGTCGCCAACACTTAGCATAATGAGATGAACAATGAAGCATAAATGAGCTGAACAATGAATCCAAGAGACAATCTACAGTACTATGATAAATTTGAAAAAAGCTTAAGACTTAATTATTCCCAAGTTGAATATAAAAAAAGTTCCTACACGAATCTCAATTATTTACATATGTGAAGGAAAAATGGATATTTAGAAATAAAAAATGAAAAAGTTTTATCATTTGATTTTCCTAGCTGTTTGTTTATTACTGCAATGCATATAGTTATTTAGTGTTGTTCTAAAGGTATTTTGGGAAGTAAATACTTATATTGCCTTTACAAATTGCTTTATTATGTAGCTTAATTGTCAGTTAATTAATTATTTTCCAAATTGACATTTTTTTCATTTTACAGTCGCAGCCTGATGTTGGACAGACCCCATTTGGACTTGGTGGCCTAGGAGGTTTAGCAGGGCTTGGTAACTTGGGAATGGGATCAGCAAATTTTATGGAGATGCAACAAAGAATGCAAAGAGAGGTGAGAAATTTCTCATTCTTTATTTCTTAGGAAAATGTACATATTGGAATGGTATTTATTAGACAGAATATCAGAAAATATTGTGAAAAATGATAAAAAAAGATTCAAATGTTTAAATATTTTGAAAGTGTTGATTCTCCTTTCCATTGTTAAAGGAAAGAATAAACACTGAATGTGGTAGTTAACTTAGTAAATGTTTAATTGGAGTTACCTGAATTGTATATATGTTCTTATCAATTTTATGGAAGGACTCCAGCCACTTTTGTGGACCTTCAGTTAAAAACCACTAATGGCCATGTGATAGTCTAAATATTGTAATTTATTTTTAGATGATGGGTAACCCAGATATGTTACGACAGATGATGGATAATCCCATGGTCCAATCTCTGATGTCCAACCCTGACGTGATGAGACAAATGATTACTAGCAATCCACAGATGAGAGAATTAATGGAGGTAAATAGATTGTACAGAAAGTTTTGAAACTTATTTATTTTATTGGTAGGAATATTGATCGAAACATATAATATCATTACTATGTTTTTTAGCAATGTTATTGTTGACAATAGCAATGCGTACTTTATTACGGAACTATGTCCTTAAACAGATGTTCTTGATTTCATCAAACAAGCCTGCAGCCATTATTCAAAATAAAACATGATTGATAATTAGATAATTTTTTATGGCCTTATAAAAGTCTTCTGCTGTCTTCTGCCATTTTCATTCTCTCAGTTTTGTTTACAAATATGTTTTATATTTCAGAGAAATCCAGAGATAACACACATGCTGAACAACCCAGAACTTATGAGACAGGTAAACATTTTACTTTAAAGGTTGCTCTCACTGTGCCCATTCTCACTTTGTGTGGGAAATTGGAAAGTTAACTGTCAGGAATTGAAGGAAAATTATTTAATTTAACAAATTCATTAAACATGAAGACTGCAGAAAAAAAGTTTTGAACGATACTTGCAGTAAACTTCAACTGTTATTGTGAAGTTACTGTTATGTCATATTGTTTAGATAGACAAAAAGAGGAGGTTTGTTTGTGTGCAAATAAAACTGTATTAACCGCACCACATTTTGTATCTGTACCAAGCCAGGGAACCCTTTTTATGTTTTGATAAGATATAGTTTTCAGACAATAGTATGATAGAAACTTCTGTTTGCAAAGATTTTAATTAACACTCTGTCTTTTAGAACACCTAGCCCTTATTTTGCACTTTTTTTGGTAGACCCCTAATTTGTTTGCTTCGTTATTGTTTTGACAATGGGACTAACCTGACAAAGTTTGATTATATCTGTTTCATTTACATTGTAGACAATGGAACTAGCAAGAAACCCAGCCATGATGCAGGAACTGATGAGATCACAAGATAGAGCCATGAGTAATTTAGAAGTGAGTAATTTACTTATCCCTTAGAAAGTGAATAGAATTGTGTTTTTATGTCAAGTCTGCAGTACTACCTGGTAGGTGCATATTGTTTTTCAGTCTGTGCGTCAGTTAGTCAGTCCGTTTTGTACACTTTAACATTTATATGCTCCACCTAGGGGCATTATTTTTTTCGGTCTGTGCGTCCGCCCGTCTGTCCGGATTCACGTTTAAGTTTTTGGTCAAGGTAGTTTTTGATGAAGTTGAAGTCCAATCAACTTGAAACTTAGTACACAGGATATGATCTTTCTAATTTTAATGCCAAATTAGAGTTTTGACCCCAATTTCACAGTCCACTGAACATAGAAAATGATAGTGTGAGTGGGGCATCCGTGTACTATGGACACGTTCTTGTTGGTAAACATTAAGTTATAGTCACTTCATCTTGAAACTTAAGTACACATGAATATTATGACGTTAATTTTCTAAAATATATGCAAAATTAAGGTTATGAACCAGTAGTGGGTACTGTCCAATCAAGATGTTCTTGTTTTTTAGCTGCAGAAAACTTTCAAAGCAAAATGCTAGAGTTGATTGTCAAGGTTCTAATTTAGATAAAAGATGGGTTTCAAATGAATTTTACAGAACTGAAATGAGCTGAGGATGTTTATAGTGGAGGTCCTTAGTTGATGCCTCTGATACACAGTATTACCGAGTATAAAAAAAATAATATATATTAATAATATTAAGCATTGTTTACTGTTTTATGATTTTCTTTTAATAAAATCCATTTCATGAAAATAGAAGTGCCAATAATAATCATTTTTGTGATAATTCTCCATCTAGTTATGCTGATTTGTTGAATGCATAAATACATATATACCTGTATACAAGAGCCAATGTAAAACATTTTTGTTGTTATTTTTCAGAGTTTACCCGGTGGATTCAATGCCTTACAAAGAATGTACAGAGATATACAAGAACCAATGTTGAATGCAGCACAGGAAGGAATGGGACAAAATCCATTCTCTGCTTTAATAGGTAGAGGTTATATTATGTTAACAATGTTGACAATGTATTGTTGACTCAAGGTTTGTCAAGACTATTTGTTTTCCATTGCAAAACATAGTCTGTCATTTTCACAAATTGTGAAGTTTTTCAGGTAAAATCTGATACGGTAGACATTGAAATGGAACTAAACTGTTCAGAATTGCTTCATACCAAGTGTAACTGTTCACCTTTATTTTATAATTTTCTTTTTTGTTGGTGATCAAGGGAGTACAATGGCATACTCTCAGCATCTATGAGCACATTTGTGGCTAGAAATTTCTAGAGATCTTCTAGGCCTACAACAATCAAACTTATCCATAATGTATAATTAAACATGATAGGATCTTGCGAATTAGTGCATAGATGTGTTCTAAAGGTCAATGTAAGTCTTCTGACTAACATTTTCCATTTCACTGACTTTTGATTTTATAGCTTTATCATTATACATACTTTCATCATGTTAATAAGTGTGTGGATGCCTTACTGTAAGTGTAGGTCAGAAACCAGTCAAGTGCAGGTCACTGTGACATGTGACACAAATCCACTAATTGTATACCCCTCCTTCGAAGGATTGGGTATACTGTTATACCATTGTCTGTCTGTTTTATGCAAATGAGATCATTGAAACTTAAACTGTAGGAAATGGGGGGGGGGGGGGGGGGGGGATAATGATTCTTACCCACCCTTTTAATGTCAAAACTTTAATTTTAGTTCTGAGGTAAACTCAGAAGTATTATCCAGTTTGAAAATAAGCCTTAATTCACATGCTTATTAGATGTAAATATTGATAAAACAATAATTTTATTATGTAAATGAAAAGAAAAAGGGAATGTTTTGATGTGTAATAAAATCATACGGAGACATATAATGAATGACATTATGACTGTAGCTTACTTGTACTTATATTTTCATTAAGGAGGAGGAACAGAGAGTGAACAACAGGGTAGAGAAAATACAGATCCCTTGCCAAACCCCTGGGCTCCAGGATCAACTCAGTCATCTAGCACCCCCTCAACAACAACAACCCCAGCCACATCTTCTGGGACATCATCAACACCTAGACAGCCACAAGGTTTGTTTACAGTATAGAGTAGTCATGTGGTTTTCTTGAATTAGAATGCATGCATATAATTTCACAAAGATCAGATTACTTCAAGAGATTCAAGAAATATTTTTTTATTTTTTTGAAAAGTTAGAATTAAAAATTCTACTTTGAATAAGAATATTATTTTTTATTGTGATGCCAAGTCTAATCCATTATTTGCATCAATTAGACACCAAAATTTGTTTTAACAATGCGGTAGAAATTTATATTATACATGTATATGTTGTTTTGTTTTTTTTTCAAATTGAAAATATAATTTATTAATTTATTTAATAATGGCAGCTCATTTGTTCTTTTCTACAGTAGTGTATGTGGTTTTCAGACAATTTTTGAAATTTACAAATTCTGTTTTATTTTTGTATTGCCTGATGATTCCAACTGTGGACACACATGTTCCATGGAAGGCTCATTAAAGGCTCATACATATTCTATTCTAAGCAGCTGCAAAGATTTATTTATGAAACAGTAATAACACCCATATATATGTTATTATGATTTTACACAAATGATGTTGAGCTTCTGGCTATCAAAACCTGAAACTCCCATAAATGAGGTGTATGCAATGCCACAAAGGATAAGGTCCCATTTAGAGGTTATTTGGCCCTGTAATTTGACCGCAAACAAAATAATTGGATGATGATATTTTTGGTTAAATTTAAAATTTTAAAAAAATGTAACTGAAGAAAATATAAGTTTAATGTTGGAAGACCCAACTTAATTGTGATGTCATTGTAGTGACATCATAGTAGGGTATACCGCATATTTTATTAAAGTGAATCGATTAATATTCAGTTTGCAAATTTGAGAAAATTTTGATTACAATTGATTTTTAACTCCATACCATACCATCTCTATTCTTATTGGTGGTACTGACAGAAAAAATTGAATTAAAAATTAAGGATCCTAACCTTTCATATTTTGAAAAACATTTAAAACAAGATGTCTAAATTTCCCCATGACAAATTTGAAGTTAAGATACATATTAATAAATATTTGAGATATGGTTCCTCAAATTCAAAATTTTGATATACATTGAGGCTCCTTTGATATTGAAATTAATACCCTAAACTGTATAGGAACTGCTGCAGGTCATCTGCATTTATGTCAGGATAAAAGAAAATAACTCTTATTGTTGCTACTGATGATAAGTTTATAGCAGTCAAGCCTAATTCAAGGTAATTGGCTACTTCACCCTGGTATTTTCCATTTGCATTTTCAAAAGGGTGGGAATTTTTAATGTTTGAAAAATAAATGTATATCTACTTCAATAACATCACTGTCTATTTACAGGAATGTTTGATAGTCCTGGAATGCAAAGTTTAATGTCCCAGATTACACAAAACCCACAGTTAATGGAAAATATGTTACAAGCTCCATACATGCAGGCCATGTTGCAGAATTTATCTTCAAATCCAGAAATGGCACAAAATGTAAGTAATTTGTGTACACCTGCTTATAGATAATAAATGGAAATTTATTTATTTGGGTTATTAATGGTATTTAACCTTATAGAATATTGAATTTTGTTGATTCAATAGTATATGTGGTCTACCAAAGGAGTAGGTCCGGTAAGGGCTGATTTTGGCCTCAAACTTCAGGTTCATCTGATCATCAGATTCTGATGAAAGATTTTAGACACTTTTTAAACACTTAAGTGTCTACTTCAGTCGATTCAATTAGTTTATGTGAATGATTTGAACTGATTTGATCATTAAAGATGATCAAGTTCAAGCTTAAATATAAAAAATCTATCAGCTATGCCATAATATGCCACTTTTCAGATGGTTTTTGTCAAAAATGAAAGTGGCCGCATCTGTGTTCACTCTCAACCTTAATATATATTATGTATTATCAAATACAACTTACATTAAAGTATTAAGAATGAACACAAATGCGGCCACTTCCATTTAAGACGGAAACCGTCTAAAATTTAACTCAAATGCTAAAATTGTGAAGATTTCAGTGATTTAGCTTGACTTAATGATGCTAGTACCCGATAGATGTGCATTGTATTGTCAAAAACAGCCCATATTTATGTAACAGAAGAACTCTAGTTTCCAATAAATAGATAAAAGTTTACATTTTAACAATTTTGTAAAACTGCTATATTTTGGGGCCAAAAAGGGGTCTTACTGGACCTACTCCTTTCAAATATTTTGTGAGCTAAGAAAACCACAAATCTCATTAATTATGCATTTTTTAGCCATTTTAATAGTGTAGTATAAGTAGAATTTTTATATCAGATTTATGATGGGAGTCAAATTTGAAATGATCACTGTAGGCAAATTAATTTGATGTATTTTTTGTAGATGTTATCTGCTAATCCAATGTTTGCTGGTAACCCACAGTTACAGGAACAAATGAGAACACAGCTACCTAATATGGTGCAACAGGTAAGTACAACCTTTTTCAGGGGTATTTGGAATGGAAAATTGGTTTAAGGGGATGGTGCTAGTAACTCAAAACTTAACAAAAAAACCTAGATGGTATTGCAGTTTATCTGACAGTGTAAAGGATGGAGTTATTGCATTTGGTGGTTAGGATCCATGTAAGAAGTCTTGACAGTTACCTGTGGGCTAGGTCCTTTGTTAGAGCTTAAGGATGGATTGATTATAATATTTGGAAACTTAAATTAAAATGAGATTTTTTGGATAGCAAATTATCTGTAGTTGACCTTAAACAATTTGACTTTACATCACACAAATTAATCAGTAGTTTAGAAAATGGTTCAACTAATATTCTAGTTATTATGCAACTTAGATACATCTTCTAATGGAATGATGAATTTATTTGTTGATAAAAAAAAAACAGGGTATTTTTAGTGCAGTGTTATCACGATTTCATTTTTGAAGTGTAGTACATTTTTGGATACATATGTCTAAGTTGAAATGAGAATGAATATCTTTTCTAATAACTTGAATTATTGTAGAAATTAAAAAAATAATAGTGTTGAAGTAGCCTTGTCAGGTACAAACTGCAGTATCAATAAGAGTTTCCTGTCATCTGTTTTATTAACATTTTAGTTACAAAATCCAAATGTACAAAGTTTTTTGACCAACCCCAGAGCAATGCAGGCCATGATGAGAATTCAGGAAGGAATGCAAGAACTTGAACAAGAAGCACCAGGATTGTTTCCAGGGTAAAATTTATTTTGTCTTGTTATGGGTTCTTCAAAGTAAACAAACACATTTTGCAGTAGTCTATCTCTAGTCTACCTACTCGACTGCATGTAAACATTGCTTCATGAAACAATGGCCTTTGGTGGAGTGAGTCAGTTAATTTAACTATAAATTGTTTTCATTATGAGTTTAATTCTGGAAAGAAGTGTCTATTAATAAAATGATAGTATCTTCACATGAATTAGAGTGCAGTCTCCTAAGAATTACAAAAATAATTGACATAGAATGTCATTGAGACAGCAATACAACAGTTACACACCAACCAACAATGAATTTCCAGAAGTTGGTGTATGGCCCTACCAGTTGCTCATTCCATAATCAAATAAGCTTTAAGAATGGTTGCTGCTGAGTTTCTAATTTTCACTATTTTATAAAACATCAAAGAAATGGTAAAAATTTGATATAAGTATTAGTGTTTATTTTTTAGATGCAAGCAATTGAATTTTTGTCGAGCCTGCGACTTTTGTCGCAGAAAGCTCGACATAGGGATAGTGATCCGGCGGCGGCGGCGGCGGCGTTAGCTAACTTCTTAAAAGCTTTATATTTTAGAAGATGGAAGACCTGGATGCTTCATACTTTATATAGATGCCTCATGTTACGAAGTTTCCGTCAGTCACATGTCCAATGTCCTTGACCTCATTTTCATGGTTCAGCGACTACTTGAAAAAAAAGTTCAGATTTTTTGGAATGTTAAATTCTCTCTTATTATAAGTAATAGGATAACTATATTTGGTATGTGCGTACCTTGCAAGGTCCTCATGCCCGTCAGATAGTTTTCACTTGACCTCGACCTCATTTCATGGATCAGTGAACAAGGTTAAGTTTTCGTGGTCAAGTCCATATCTGAGATACTATAAGCAATAGGTCTACTATATTTGGTGTATGTAATGATAGTAAGGGGTTCATGTCTAACTGGCAGGTGTCATCTGACCTTGACCTCATTTTCATGGTTCAGTGGTCATAGTTTAGTTTTTGTGTTTTGGTCTGTTTTTCTAATACTGTATGCAATAGGTCAACTGTATTTGGTGTATGGAAATATTGTACGATGTTCATGTCAGTCTGGCAAGTTTTATTTGACCTTGACCTCATTTTCACGGTTCATTGCTCAATGTTAAGTTTTTGTGTTTTGGTTTGTTTTTCTAATACTGTATGCAGTAGGTCAACTATATTTAGTGTATGGAAATATTTTACGATGTACATGTCAGTCTGGCATGTTTTATTTGACCTTGACCTCATTTTCAAGGTTCATTGTTAAATGTTAAGTTTTTGTGTTTTGGTCTGTTTTCCTAATACTGTATGCAGTAGGTCAACTATATTTGGTGTATGGAAATATTTAATGATGTACATGTCAGTCTGGCAGATTTTATCTGACCTTGACCTCATTTTCATGGTTCATTGCTTATGTTACGTTTTTGTGTTTTGGTCTGTTTTTCTTACACTTTAAGCAATAGGTCAACTATATTTGGTGTATGGAATGATTGTAAGGTGTACATGTCTAGCTGGCAGGTGTCATTTGACCTTGACCTCATTTTCATGGTTCAGTGGTCAAAGTTAAGATTTTGAGTTTTGGTCTTTTTATGCCCCCGCCGTAGCGGTGGGGGCATTAAGTTTTACCCTTGTCCGTCTATACGAACGTCCGTCTGTACGTCCCAAAATTGGTTTCCGTTCTCTAACTTGAGTTTGCCTCAACCAAATGTTATGAAACTTATACACAAAGCTTATTACCACAAAACACAGATCGAGTTTGAATTTTGGTGGCATCACTTTAACCGTTCTAGAGTTATGCCCCTTTATAAATGGAAAAATTGCAAAATTTTTAGTTTCTGTTCTCTTACTTAAATTTGCCTCAACCAAATGTTATGAAACTTATACACAATGCTTATTACCACAAAACACAGATCAAGTTTGAATTTTGGTGGCGTCACTTCAACCGTTCCAGAGTTATGCCCCTTTATAAATGGAAAAATTGCAAAATTTTTAGTTTCCGTTCTGTAACTTAAGATTGCCTCAACCTAATGTTATGAAACTTATACACAATGCTTATTACCACAAAACAGAGATCAAGTTTGAATTTTGGTGGCGTCACTTAAACCGTTCTAGAGTTATGCCCCTTTATAAATGGAAAAATTGCAAAATTTTTATTATCTACTAAATATCAAATTATTTTTAAAATTGGAGTTATCTTCCTTTGTCCATGATTATAGTTGAATCAACTACAATCAATGCTCTATACAATGCAATGTTTAATTTTGACTTCCACTGATAAAACACAGATCAAGTTGAATTTGGATAGTGTCATTTTAACCATTATTGAGTTATGCCCCTTTATAAATTGAAAGATTGCAAAATTTTTAGTTTCCATTCTGTAACTTAAGTTTGCCCAAACCAAACATTATGAAACCTGTACACAATATTCATTACCACAAAACTAAGATCAAGTACATATTTTTTGATTCCGTTTTCTAACTTTAGTTTGCCTCAACCAAATGTTATGAAACTTATACACAACGGTTCTAGAGTTATGCGTGTTTACAAATAGAAAAATTGCTGAATTTTTAGTTTCTGTTCTCTACTTAAGTTAGCCTCAACTAAATGTTATGAGACTTACACACAATGCTTATTACCACAAAACTTGGATCAAATTCAAATTTGGGTAGCGTCACTTTTACCGTTCTTCAGTTATGTCCCTTTATAACTATATGATATGCAAGCGGGGGCATCATCTGTGTCCACATGTGGACACTATCCACATTTTTTTCTAATACTATATGCAATAGGTCAACTATATTTGGTGTATGGAAATATTTTATGGTCTTTATGTCAGTCGCGCAGTTTTTATTTGACCTTGACCTCATTTTCACAGTTCATTGCTCAGTGTTAAGTTTTTGTGTTTTGGCCTGTTTTTCTTAAACTATAAGCAATAGGTCAACTATATTTGTTGTATGGAAGAATTGTTAGCTGTACATGCCTGCCTGGCATGGTTCATCTGACATTGACCTCATTTCCATGGTTCATTGGTCAATGTTTAGTTTTCTAGGTTAATGTTAAGTTTATGTGACAGTTGTAAGAAAGCTTTATATTTAGGACTATCAACATAATATTAATGATTAGTAAAGAAGGCGAGACATTTCAGCGTGTGCACTCTTGTTGACAAAAGTTTGTGTTGATTTTTTCTATGAAATGTAAAGGAAGAAATGAATTTCAAATTCATATGAAAAATAGTATTGTAAATAACACTGTATTTCAGATGCAAAGTTTAAAAGATATTAAAAAAATTAGAGGTTACTGAACAAATTTATTTAAATGCGTCATCAAGGGAAAGTCCATAAGGGGTTTCAAAATATTAAGGAAAAGATAAAAATGAGAACAGCCCTACTTTCCATTTGGCCCAGACAACTTATGAATGACTGAAATTCTGAAATTCAAACCAAATTTGGAAATTTAGATGTGACATGAATTTAAATACATCTGAATGTGTACAGACACAAAAATATTTGGAGGCTTGGTTTGAGAGCAGTTTGATAGAAGTCAACATAGATAAATACCAGTAAAATGAAATTAAAAGGGAAAAAATCCTTGGGTACACACAATACAATTTTGAGGAGCATTTTTGTTCAAAAATAAATTGTTTTAGAAAACAAAAATATTGTGAGTCTCATTGAAGTCATAAGTTATTATGTTTACAATAAAGTCATTATTATAACAATATATTATAATATAATACTTGAAGGATGAATCCATTGCTAACAAGACCTCAACAAACAACAACAGATACACCTACCACAGGATCAACATCCACCTCCCTGACGAGTCCAACATCACCGTCAACAGATAGTACCTCAACCACCACAACAGCAGATACTACAACATCAACAACTACCACCACCACATCAGCACCAGCACCAGTACCAGGACAAAGTCCAGAACAGATGTCAAATTTAATGGCCCATATGATGAGTCTAATGGCCCAAGGAACTAATGTAAGTACCTGTATACTGGTCCCAGTCAGGCAAAGGGATATAAATTCTATATGATGAGTCTAATGGCAGAAGGAACTTGTGTAAGTACCAGTAAACTGGTCCCGGTTAGGCAAGGTCTAACACCATGTCAGTGTTGCACAAGTTTGAAAACATTTATCTGATAATATGTATGATGATTTTGATAGCTGAATAAAGGAATACAAATACTCCTTTTGCTAATTAAGGGTTTAAGTTCTTCTTCAACTAGATGGAGAAGTTGAGATGGAAAAGATCATTAAAGTTTGAGCAAAGGATTGTGAACATATTGGCATGACACGGGTTATGTTCTTCTCATATATGTTATGATGGTATGATACTAAACCCCTAACGGGAAGGATTGTGCCTGATATTCATATGATGAAGACATAATCTTTCAATCAGTTTAATTGAAATCTGGAGCTGGCATGTCAGTTAACTGCTAGTAGTCTGTTGTTATTTATGTATTATTTTCATTTTGTTTATTTTCTTTGGTTACATCTTCTGACATCAGACTCGGACTTCTCTTGAACTGAATTTTAATGTACGTATTGTTATGCGTTTACTTTTCTACATTGGCTAGAAGTATAGGGGGAGGGTTGAGATCTCATAAACATGTTTAACCCCGCCGCATTTTTGCGCCTGTCCCAAGTTAGGATCCTCTAGCCTTTGTTAGTCTTGTATTATTTTTAATTTTAGTTTCTTGTGTACAATTTGGAGTTTAGTATGGCGTTCATTATCACTGAACTAGTATATATATATTTGTTTAGGGGCCAGCTGAAGGACGCCTCCGGGTGCGGGAATTTCTCTCTGCATTGAAGACCTGTTGGTGACCTTCTGCTGTTGTCTGTTCTATGGTCGGGTTGTTGTCTCTTTGACACATTCCCCATTTCCATTCTCAATTTTATATGCATGTATTTGAAAAATAAATGTGAAACATGGCCCCAATTCATAACAAAACAAAGAGAAGCAAATATGACATACCTGGACCAACAACCATCACTGAATTACAGGCTCCTAACTTTGGACAGGCATATAAAAAATATGGCAGTGTTAAACATAATTGTGAGTGCTCAGTCCTTTCCCTAACCTTGGACATTGGTGTAACAACACAACATAGGAACAAACTATAAAAATTAGTTGGAATTAATATCTTGAGTCTTCAGACTAGCACACATCACAAAAAATAACTAAAGAAAAAAAAACCACCAAAATATTGATTGAAGAGTAATTGCAGTTACTGAAAGCTAGTTCAAAACCAATTACAACTAATAAATAAACCATGTTTTCCCAGACTAAAGTATCAATTGCTACACATTAAATGGAATTAGTGTAAAGATGTCATAAATATGTTTACTACAGTCTTTTCAAATTGTTGGGTTACAATGGCCTTAAGTGCATCAGGTTCAAATGGTACACTTGGTACTACTTTAAAGTAGACATAACGTTTTCTTTTTATAAGTACAGGTCTTTGTGATATAAATTTGAAGTCTACTTAAATAATCTTAGCTTGTGAAGTCAAATGTTTAATATATTACTCCTGAAAACAAAATTGAAATTGTATCTGTAAATTTTGTACCATGTCCAATATCTGCATTGATAACTTTTTTTTTTTTCAATGTAAAAGAACAAAAGTCCAATCAATATCTGCATTGATAACAATTTTTTTTTCTCAATGTAAAATACGAAAGGATTGTTTATTGCAGAATCAACCACCAGAACAGAGATATGCTACAGAATTAGAACAGATGGCTGCTATGGGATTTATTGATCGAGAACAGAATCTCAGAGGTATAAATTTTACAATTTAATGCCAAGGGGTAAATAACTGCTATTTGAATCAGTTTGAATCATCAAGCACCTTCAAAGTACATGATATTGATAAATATGCACAAATGAACTGCTATATATGTGCACTTAATCACTGCAAAAAAGTAGCTTTCAATTCTAAAGAATTGTAGTTATGCAACTAAATGCAATTGTGCTATATCGTGTTTGTTTTTCCACCACCATACCTCAATGGAAGACTCAAACATGGTTTGAAAATATGCACACAACTCTTCCAATCTTTAACCAATGACTTTGATCACTTTCATTATTGGTTGGGTACTTTACAACCACTGTACAGAATGAAAATACATGATAAAGTTGTTTCTGTGGATGCATGCACACTATGCAATCTCTGTAAACCCATTATGTACAGAATGTTTTTAGTGAAGCAGACCTTGTTTGCATAATAACCTAAAGTTGACATATACAAGTATTGTTTGAGAATTGTTCGAAATAGACAATTTTATAGTATCTTTCCTGTAAAACTATGTTTGCTCATTATTGACTTCTGTAAATTCAGAAATTTGTGTGTGCATTTTTTTGACAGTAGTTGAACAATGTACAAAAATGTGACATTAGTAATTGCGATTTCAGAAAATGCAGCATAAAAATTATGCTATCAAAATTTGAAAGACAAGTTTTTATACGCCCGTTTACGGGACGTATTATGGTATACCGTTGTCCGTCTGTCCGTCTGTCTGTCTGTCCGTCTGTCCGTCTGTCCGTCCGTCGTCAACATGTCGGACATTAACTCAAAAATGATTTAACCAATTTGCATAGAACTTTAGTGAATTGTTTATATCTATTAACGTGAGCTCCCTTTCGTTTTTTTATAAATTTTAGATTTTACGTTTCCGAGTTATGGGGTTTTATTCATTAAAAAAAGGGGGATTTTCCAGTTTTCGGACAATAACTCAAGAATGCTTTCACCAACTTGCAAGAAATTGTGGTGAATTGTTTATATCTATTGACATGAGCTCCCTGTCGATTTTTATAAAATTTAGATTTTACGTTTCTGAGTTATGGGGTTTTATACATTAAAAAAAGGGGGATTTTCCAGTTTTCGGACAATAACTCAAGAATGCTTTCACCAACTTGCAAGAAATTATGGTGAATTGTTTATATCTATTGACATGAGCTCCCTGTCGATTTTTATAAATTTTAGTTTTTACGTTTCCGAGTTATGGGGTTTTATTCATTAAAAAAAGGGGGATTTTCCAGTTTTCGGACAATAACTCAAGAATGCTTTCAAGTACTTGCAAGAAATTGTGGTGAATTGTTTATATCTATTGACATGAGCTCCCTTTCGATTTTTATATATTTTAAATTTGACGTTTCTGAGTTACAGGGTTTTATTCATAAAAAAAGGGGGATTTTCCAGTTTTCGGACAAAAAATCAAAAATGCTTTCAGCAGTTCTCATGAAACTTTGGTGAATTGTTTATATATCTATTGATGTAAGTTCCGTTTAGAATTTTATAAATTTTTCATTTATCATTTCTGAGTTATGGGGTATTATTCATTAAAAAAAGGGGGGGGGGGGGGGGGGGTTTCCAGTTTTCGGACAATAACTCAAAAATGCTGTCAGCAATTCTCATGAAACTTTGGTAAATTGTTTATATCTATTGATGTAAGCTCCCTTTACATTTTCATAAATTTCTAATATGACATTGAGAATTAATTGAACTTTATTTGTTTATAGTCTGACAACAGATTTACTAAGTATTGCGCAACGGTACAGTGTATTGCACAACAGCAAGAAATCTTTAATTGAATATAAATTCAATTCATATAACCAATTTCAAGTTCTTTGACTACATTTATTTAGAAACCTATATGTCAAATATTTAATTACAATCCAAATTCAGACCTGTATCAAGCTTGAATATTGTGCCCATTTTTGCCCCAACTGTTCAGGGTTGGACCTCTGCGGGCGTATCCAGCTGCGCTCAGCGAAGCAGTTTATTATTTATGCAAATCATATCCCATTGCAATTTTCGCAATGATAAAAACATCACAAAAATTTCTGAATTTACAGTATATATTTTAATCTTGTGTTTTAAAAAATATACAAATGCTTTCTTATACACAATTGTTTTCCACATTTGACTAATTTATGTTTTCATTATCTTTTCAGCATTGACAGCTACCATGGGAAATGTAAATGATGCTATAGACAGAATTTTATCTTCTAGAAGCTGAATCTTATTGTTTAGTATTATTGTAAATGTGAATTATTTGTGTTATAAAACTTCATTTTCTGAATACTTCAAATCTTATCTAGATAAAATTGATTAGCTGTAAACCCATGCTATTTTTGGTCTTTGTGGTAAAAACTTCTGCAAAGACATCAGTGTCCGTGTTTAATGATTTCATATAGTGTCAATATTCATCAACAGACTGGAAACAGATTCATTATGTTATGTCACATATTTGCAGTTTCCATATTTTAAAATAGAGTTATTATATATATTTCAATTTGTTTTATACATGTATCACTGTAAAAAACTGTTTCAATTAAAATCCAACAACTTGCTTAAACATCACACATGGTTTGAGTTTCATGAAGCAACTAATCCAATGCAGAAATTTATCAGTCAATTACAGATTTTTCATAACTTAGTTTATTTATAATTTTTAGGGAAATCTTATGAGGGCTAGACCATGGAATGTAATAATTAATCAGAGAGGTTTATATAATGAAATGAGATTTGAATTGCCCATGATTTAAACAGAACAATTGATAGAAATATAACTCAGTTTAATTTTAAATTTTATATCTGTCCTTAGAATTAATTAAAATTATCTTATTTTCTATCAAAATGTCTTATTGAACCATTAAATTCTTGAACCCATTGACCATTCATGGTTTTTTAATGCCAGATTATTTGTATCTGCAGGACAAAGGATTCATAATAGACTCTTAATTGAAAAGATTATCATTTTTAATATGTTTTTCCTGGTTGCTATAGGTAGACAATATTTTAGATGTCAGACAATCAATGGTACCACAAACATAATCTGTATACATAACTTGTACAAATAGGTTTCAACAGGATCCTGGATGTCCTTTATCATTGTTTGAAGCTCATCCTTAGTTAATTCAGACCAGAATTTCTTGCAAAAGTAACAATTTTTTTTTAATTTATGCCACACTTTCTCCAATTTTTCCTGTGTACCAAATCTTGAGAAGGTTAGAACAGGGTATCACATGCACATTTCTATTATGATATACTTGTAGACTGATATGTGATGCAATATAATATATGACTAAAAGGAGATGTGGGGTGCCCAAGTTAATAAGTTCATCCTATATATTATTTACAGGATAATATTTGTATACATGATATATATCTAAAATACAAAAACATGTTCCATGGAATTTTCGATATTTTTGGATAATGAAAATATAGTGACATGATAATATATTCAAACTTAAAAGTCAATGATCTTTTGTTTCTTATTAAGAAACACAGCAAGTAAAGGATTTGAAAAAAAATTAAATTAAGCGTTTTCAAACAAAATGATTCATGGTTATGAAGATGAAAAACACTATTTGAAAACATGCAAATGTAATTATTGATTTACTGCAGAAGACAGACTCGAACACTTTTGTAATTTCTGAAAGTATTGAAGAACAAGACAGTTTTCAGTTATTCAAAGCATTTAGCTTGATAAAGTGTTCATTTTGTGTGTGTAAAATAAATTCATCCAATCAAACTTATAAGTTAAATTACATACCAGTACATTGATTGAATTTATTAATAGATATTAATATTTTGGTTGAACTCGCAATGATAGCAGTTTACGTTGTGGCAATAGGGTGGGATATAGATAATGAGTTATTTCCCCTTTGTTATCTGTTAATTACAAATATTTGTTCTGTTAACCTTTGAACTGTATGTCTTTATCATGTCATCAATCTGTATATGTAATTAAAAGATTTTACATTAAAATTGTAATTTATGGAAACAAAGTTTTACATGTAGTTTAAATGCCAGCATTTCACATATTGACACATTGGTTCTTATGTTCCCCATATATATAGATTTATAGTTGTCTGTTTGTTATGGCAAAGTTCTTCTTTTCAGTTCATTTCTCTGAAATCTTTATGGTACAACATTGGTATTACTTGGATTGAGACGTTTGTTCATATTTTAAATTAGTGCATTTCATATAAGTTTCAAGTTAAAGGAAAAACTAATGGAGTACTCTCAACTTCCATGTGGCTTGTGCACCATGTCAGTAGTCGGTGTCTGTGTTCCCAAAAAGACCTGATACTTGTAGGCCAAGTTTTTGCAACTTTCTATGTAGAAACCTCTAACTTTGGGACCTAAGAATGTCTTTGGTTATGATTTTGTCCCAGTTGATATTGCGTATATTTTACATCCATGTGCATATTTCTATAAGTTATAGGATCATATCATCATGTGTGTATATGCAAATTTCGAACTAGGTTAGCATCCAGCCAAAAGTAGGTTACCCTTCATTTTACACTATTAAATTTTGTTTAGTTTTACTTCTGAGTTCATATCTAGGTAATTTACATAATAGGATCATCTAAACTTGTGTAAATATGCATTGTATGAAGGTTAGCCTCAAGGCAAACATTAAGTCACCATGACCTACATTTCACTCTTCATTGACTTTGGTTACGTTTCTCATCTCTCTCAAGATTAATAAGTTCCATCAATATTTAAAAATAATGATTTTGAATGATACAAATATCCACCTGAGTTCAAATGATAAAGATAAAAACAATGCTACTAGGTAACTGTATGGCCTTCAACAATGAGAAAAACCAATACATCATAGTCTGCTATAAAAGGCCCCACTGAAAAATGTGTAACAAATATAAAGGTCCTAATTTATAAAACAATTTTCTTAAAATGCACTCCACCTGGAGCAGCTAGATACGATCGCACAGGTCGAACTCTGAACATTTGGGGCAAATATGAACACAATATTCAAGCTTGATACAGCTCTTAATTTGGATAGTGGTTAAATATTTGACACATAGATTTCTGACACAGAATAAATGTGGTCAGATAACTTAAAGATTTGAAATGGGACATTTAATCTACTTAATGGTCCAATATCCAAAATCTAAGTCCATGGTTAGATTCAGCACATAAAAAACAAGAGTGCACACGCTGAAATGTCTTGCCTACTATACTGACCATTCATTTTTATACGACAGCAAAAAAATTTTTGTGGTCGTATATTGGTATGACGTTGGCGTCGTCGTCGTCATCATCATCCGAAGAGACATAAGTTTTCGCACTCTTAACTTTAGTTTAAGTGAATGGATATCAATTAAATTTTACCATAAGGTTAAATACCACAAAAGGAAGGTGGGGATTGATTTTGGGGGTTATGGTACCCACAGTTAAGGAATTAGGGGCCAAAAAGGGGCCAAAAATAAGCATTTTTGTAACTTCCAGACATAACTTGTGTGTAAGTGTATGGATCTCTCTGACATTGTACCACAAGATTCCATATCACAAAGGGAATGCTGGGATTGATTTTGGGGGTAATTGCCTCCAAATTTTAGGAATTAGGGGCAAAAAACTAGCATTTTTCTAGTTTCATGACAATAACTTGTGTGTAAGTGTATGGATCTCTCTGACATTGTATCACAAGGTTCCATATCACAAAGGGAATGCTGGGATTGATTATGGGGGTAATTGCCTCCAAATTTTAGGAATTAGGGGCCAAAAAGGGGGAAAAAAACAAGCGTTTTTCTAGTTTCATGACAATAACTTGTGTGTAAGTGTATGGATATTTCTGAAATTGTACTACAAGGTTCCATATCACAAAGGGAAAGCTGGAACTGAGTTTTGGGGTAATTGCCCAAAAAGTTTAGGAATAAGGGGCCAAAAATAAGCATTTTCTAGTTTCCAGACAATAACTTGTGTTCAAATGTATGGATCTCTCTGAAATTGTACTGCAAGGTACCTAACCTCAAAGGAAAGGCTGGGATTGATTTTGGGGGTAATTCCCTCAAAATTTTAGTAATTAGGGACCATGAAAGGGCAAAAAAAACAGTTTCAGGACAATAACTTGTGTGTAAGTGAATGGATCTTTATGAAATTGTACTGCAAGGTTCCATATCACAAAGGGAAAGCTGGGTTTGAGTTTGGGTGTAATTGCCCTAAACGTTTAGGAATTTTGGGGCCAAAAAGGGGCCAAAAACAAGCATTTTTCTAGTTTCCAGACAATAACTTGTGTTCAAGTGTATGGATCTCTCTGAAATTGTACTGCAAGGTACCATACCACAAAGGGAAAGCTGGGATTGAGTTTGGGGGTGATGAATCATAAGGGGGTTAAAAAAATTGGGGGAGATTTTTTTTCTTTAAAATTTTCCATTTTAAATTGGTTATTTCTGATTTATATATAAAATCAAATAATAATGATATGGTTTGAATAGGTAAATTAAAAAATTTTAAGTTCTTAGACCACTTTCATTCTGTGTGAGAAACCTATGCTGTGTCAAATATTTAATTACAATCCAAATTCAGTGCTGTATCAAGCTTGAATGTTGTGTCCATACTTGCCCCAACTGTTCAGGGTTCGACCTCTGCGGTCGTATCAAGCTGCGCCCCAGCTGGAGCATTTTATATGTTTATAGTCCTGCATATAAAGTTTTACTACAAGTATCACATTAACATTTTTGATCCAAGAAAATAAGGTCAAGGTCAGATAAACCAAGCCAGAAATACATGTACAACTTTAATACAATCATTCCATACACAGAATATAGATAACCTATTGCTTATAGTATAAAAGAAACCAACCAAACCATGGAAATTCTATACTAACCAATGAACCATGAAAATAAAGTTCAGGTCAGATGAACCCTGCCAGACAGACATGTACACCTTAAAATCATTCCATGCATCAAATATAGTTGACCTATTGCTTAAAAACAAGGAATTAATTGAATCTGGAATAATTATATATTATGGAATATGAAATGATTTGGTGTATGTTGTTCTAAGCCTTAGTTATAAAATAAAATTAAAAAAAGTGATGAATTTTATGAAGTTATTTACAAATATGATTATCTTCAAATTGTCAGGCAAATATATGGTTAAGTCTGTAATTGATGCCTTGATCTAACTTGAGTATGGCTAACCCTTAGTTGGACTTAATAAAATATATTATTACTGTTCAACTAACCCTTAGCCATGCGTGCATGGCTAACCCCCTTAGTTGGACTTTATAAAATATATCATTATTGTTCAACTAACCCTTAGCCATGCACGCATGGCTAACCCCCTTAGTTGGACTTTATAAAATATATCATTATTGTTCAACTAACCCTTAGCCATGCATGCATGGCTAACCCCCTTAGTTGAATTTTATAAAATATAATAATTATTGTTCAACTAACCCTTAGCCATGCGTGCATGTCTAACCCCCTTAGTTGGACTAAAAAAAAAATTTTGTAAATAAATAAAAAAAAAATTTAAATGCAAAATTACAAAAAAAATCAAATTTTTCAAAAATTCATAAAAAAAAAAAAAAAGTGCAAAAAAAATTTTTTTTTTCAAAATTTAATGGAAAAAAAAATTTTAAATGCAAAATTACAAAAACATTTAAATTTTCAAAAATTCATAAAAAAAAAAAAAATTAAATGCAATTTTTTTTTTTTTTTAAATAAAAAAAAAAAAAAGCAACGTATTATTCTGTTGTGAAAATGTATAAATGCCACATTGAAATGGGAATATTAATGGCTGCCAAAAGATTGGAATGTGTTCACATATCATTTCAATGGTAAAAACTCTTCACTGAACAGAATGATTGGAGGTGGAAATTTGTTTGCCATAACCTGGACAGAAGCTGGAATCAATTCATGAATGTTCCTGTTCATTTAGTAGTGGTAAGTGTTGTTTTTGTTTATTGTTTAAATTTATTATGTCTGTATAACATGTATAAATCAACATGTTTTGTTGCTCTATGATTTGTCTTTCATGCTATGCTACATTGTAGATCCTTTATATTAACCTTGGTCTCTTTATCATGTAACTTCTAATGAATAGTCGTCGGATAAATATCAAGTCCAATGTAAAAACTGTTTACTGAACAGAATGGATAGGGTATGAAATGTTTTTACCATATCCTTGAGAGGAATTGGAATCAATTCATGAAAGTTCTGAATTATTTATTAGTGGTGTTCCTTTTTTTCATTGGCTATGAGCTATGCTAATTCCTTTATATAGAAACATAGATATTGTTGTATTTTGCATCAGCCTTTTATAGTATACTTACTATACAATAACATACTTGCTACATGTAAATAATGCAAGCTGTATGTTAACCTGCAATTTTAAATCTGAGTCTTAAATAGACAGTCATAGCCAATCATACCACATCTCCTTATTCTTTTATGCAATTTGAGATATATTTGCAAGTTGAAGAAACTTTGACTGACATTTATCATTTCAATCATAGCAAAATATTCTCTCATGTGTATAGATGATCCTTGCAGTTACTATATACTTAACTTTCAATAAATATAAATAAAACTACAACAGATGCATGTATGGAAGGTCTTACATGTACACATGTTGAACTTTACTCACAATCATCTTTCATCTATAAATGCTAAACCATGCAACTTCTAATGCAAAGAGACAAGAGGGTTGCCAATTTTTTAAATGTATAAATAGTTTTATCTTCCACTATCTTTT